CATGTTAGTATGGGTTCATGTGAGTTTCCTTTGGATGGTCTGGTTTCCTCCCACATTCCAAAATCATATTGGTACAGTAAGTTCATTGGCTTCTGGGAAAATCCGTGTGAGAGTGCGTACCTGTGCCTGTGTGTGCCCTGCGATTGTTGTCCCTTCCAGGATGTACCCCGCCTTGCACTCCAGCTCCCCCTTGACCCAGAATTGGATTAAGCGGTTTGAAAATAGATGGATGAAACTAAAGGAAGACTAAAGGGTATTTGTTCCAAAATTTGTGTTGATTACCAGTACTTTATTAAACATACAAGATGCTTAAGTGATGAGAATGAGTTATGCCCTGACACTAGACTTTCAGCCCCACTGAACATCTGAAAGATGTACTGAAATGATGTATAGCATCTAGGGCTCAGAGACAAGGGACTGGCATGTGTACATTGTGCAAAGTGTTGAATGTGTATTTAAAGAATATAGTGCTACCAATGATGACACAACTAGTCTGTGAATTTTTCAGCACTAGCAACAATGATAGCTGGGATTTCCCATAGTTTGCCTACATAAAACATCATTATTATTTTATTTTTGTTGAATTTTTTTGAGATTAGATATGAATCTTCATCAACTCATCTAGGGCAGATGGTCAAAAAGATACACAAAATTTTCAATTAACTTTAGCATATTAAAGTGTAAACCTAGTGAACAGAAGGGAATTGCATGCTGAAAGCCTAATATTTTTTGTCAATGTGGTAAGAGCCATTACCACAATTTATAACACTTAAGTCCTGCTCTTACAGTATTTTTTTTAATGTCAGCTTAATGACCTATTGGGCCAAAGATGAATTAAAGAGTAGAAGTGGTATTTCAATTATTGTATGTGAAATGAGACATAATTTGTTATATTGTGTGTGACAGAAGGCTTTCATATTCTTTGCTTAGTCAGAGCCTCTTCATTGTCAGTGTTCACATTCATCTGCTTTTTGCCATCGGTAAAGTAATGCTTTTCAAGTCTGCTAATGGCTCCATTTAAAAAAAGGTTTACAGACAGTGAAATCTCACCATGTAATTAACCGCCTCCAAATCTTCTTCTTTAAATATCAGTGAACATCAGAATTGAGCACTCAGTTTTAATGTGAAGAAATGTTCTGGTAATCAAGTCACAAAAAGCAGCACAATCCACATAATCGAGCACCTAGGGGATAGACCACAGAGCATAGCTCACTGTAGGCTCCTTCATTGTTTTTGAATGTAGTATGAACTGTAGGTCTTCAGATTTCTTTTAACATGGAATCTACAACAGTTTGTAATATATATACTGTACATTTTCAACATGACACACTCAGGAGCCCGAGTTTAATCCTGATATTGGGTGTCTCCTCATGTTCTCCATATGCTCACATAGAATTGCACTGAGAGTTCTAGTTTCCTGCTAAAGCCATACTGGTTGTTTGTTTGGCTGTTCTAATTTTTGTCTTTCTCCAACACCCTGCATGGGATTTGTGCATTGTCAATCCCTCCTTCTGTCCTTCTGGGACAGACCCCGGTTTAGTCTGCTTATCCCTAGGCTAAACAGCTTTATCACAATGAAAGGATGAATATATCCACTCTGGAATAGATGGTTGTTCTGCATCTGGGCTTTATGTCTCCAATTCCTACAGTGCATGATAAGAAAGAAGACCATCGTACATGTACCTACATAACCATGCTCTCCAAAATTTGAGGACAACCAATAGCATATCTGTATTTACCATCCTTTGAGACCAAATAATCTTGTTGAGAATGCCGTCACCTTCTGACACTTTTGTTTGTTAAAATACAAAAGCCTAGGAACATCCACAATGCTGTACTCTCTTAGCAACACTGTATGGAGAAATTCAATTGTTCAGACCTCCTGTTCTGTTAACAGTCATTCACAGTTTTTGTTGTTTGATTTGTTCTGTGGCACAATGAGTGGGAGGTAACCTAATAATCCAAATTAGGTAACACTGTACTCAGAAATTCAGTAATGCAGTGAGGCTTTGGGAAGCAGATGACACAAGAGAAAAGACACAAATCCCTTTTATAAAAATGACTTTGCAGCTTATTCTTAGGCGCGAAATTTACCGCTAAAACTCAGCTGCCTCCAAGGAGCCACTACCAATAAATCAAGCTAATCAGATGGCAGAGATCCAATTCCTTCCTTCCCACATGATGCACATCTGTTATAGTCCACACACTAGGATAGAATATCCATTTGCTTGAGGATGTAATCTTACCTTTGAATGCTGTATGCAAGCGACCTTCATCTCCTTACTGAGTACATACTGTGCTGTATTGCACAGAAAGATGTGTCAGACAAATAATAATGGCACAATTTAGCTGCTGAATTGAACTATAATGGAATGAACAAAGTTCTTAGTAGATCCGTACTGTATGTACTGATTTTACAGTTCTTTTTATAAGCAGCTGGACAAACAGAATTCAAAGATGTCTCTTTAGAACCTTGCGGTCAGAATACATGTTGTTCATGCTCTGATATCTCACTGAAGATTGTTTTTTCTTTTTTGCATTTAAAATCTTCCAGTTCTGTTTTTCTTAGGCTGCAATCACTATTTTGTCTGAAAAAAGAAATCAGAGAAATGCATTCAAACACATCAGTCTATTCACAAAGCCTAAACAGATGTTTGTTTTGATGAAAAATCTATTTTTACAGGCTGCTATTATTGGGAATGTCTCTCTTTATAATGTACTGATAATCAGTTACCATTTGAAAGCACCAACAAGAACCCAGTAAAGTTTATAGAAGTGTAATGGACACATGCTTCTTACAGTATGTGAGGTATGCCAGTCAATAATTTTCAGAAAACTGCTTGTTAGTATGACTAACAGCAGCCTGGAGCCAGTCCTGGAAGCACAGGACACAAGGTAGGGGAACAGACCCCCACGGACACAATTGAAAGACACCCCAGTCCTAAAAACACCAAAGAACTCTAACATTAGCTGCTGTACCACCATGCTGCCTTAATGAGGCATCTATATATGTTATATATTTTCACATTAAATTGGCTCTGGTCTTCTGCTTGAAACAGTGGTGGAAAAATACACCCTTGCTGGCACTGCATGGTTTCCTGTAGCCTTTAATGACTCATAATGTTCTAGTACTGCCAGAACCGCTTATCAACAGGTAAGCCAGAAGATGCTAAATCATTCCATTTAAATACACAAGTAAAAGGTCTGTGCTACAGAATGGAATGGAAAGTAGTGTGTGCTTTGTTTTTTTTCAGTGATTATGTATGCAGGCCATTATGACATTGTTTACACTTTTTTCAGGCATTGATCCTGTCCAGGACTTTTTCTTTTTTTAAATCACAGCAGAAGGGATATACTAAGGTTCATAAAGTTAATGTTTTAGGTCCTGTCTCTGGGAAATTAAATTGAAAGTTAATTTTCCCAGGATGTATTTTAATAATAATAATAATAATAATAATTGCTTACACTTATATAGCACTTTTCTGGACACTCCACTCAAAGCGCTTTACATGTAATGGGGACTCCCCTTCACCACCACCAATGTGCAGCATCCACCTGGATGATGTGACGGCAGCCATAGTGCGCCAAAACGCTCACCACACATCAGCTATCGTTTGGGAGGAGAGCAGAGTAATGAAGCCAATTCATAGAGGGGGATTATTAGGAGGCCATGATTGGTAAGGGCCAAATGGGAAATTTGGCCAGAACGCCGGGGTTACACTCCTACTCTTTTCGAGAAACGCCCTGAGATTTTTAATGACCACAGAGAGTCAGGACCTCGGTTTTACGTCTCATCCGAAGGACGGCGCTTTTTTACAGTATAGTGTCCCCGTCACTATGCTGGGGCATTTGGACCTACATGGACCGCAGGGTGAGCGCCCCCTGCTGGCCCCACTAACACCTCTTCCAGCAACAACCTTAGTTTTTCCCAAGAGGTCTCCCATCCAGGTACTGACCAGGCTCACACCAGCTTAGCGTCAGTGGGTTGCCAGTTGTGAGTTGCAGGGTGATATGGCTATTTTGATGGTCTGTTTACTATTCCCTCCAACTGTTCTGCTCAGTCAAAGAATAAAGGTTTTCAGTTTTTCAGCCAATTCAGTGATTGTTTCTCAGGCTTTGTCAGTTTGCTCTTAAGCACTCTGTCCAGTAAGGTACATTGTATGTTTAGAAACTCCAGTTGATCCAAAAGTCCACTGCTCTTGAAGCTTTGTTGGAGTCCTAAGCCCAAACCTAGGACCTTGAGCCATTACCTGTACTAGCGTTGGGATTCTTACATGTTTGCTGTTGGAGCATAATATTTGCTCATCTAATAAAAAACTCAGCACAGAGCTATTTTGTAATTATTTTGTAAGTTTGTAATTCTGCAAGACATTTAGTAGAATATTAAAGGTCGCCCTGTTCTCACCTCTTACCTCTTGCTAGATGAGATCTCTAATCTTGGCCTCTCTCAGAAACAGTAAGAGGTTTGGTTGGATGGTCTGAATGAAACTAATAAGATGCTGGCACTATGTTGAGAGATGCTGTCACTCTTCACTGCATCGATTGGCAAGTTTGAATCCTGGTCTAACTAGCATATCACTCAACCTCAGGATATCACCAACCATTTAAATCACAATGAGCAGTAAAGGTGTTAGATTCTAAAGTTCAGCTGAGTTTCCTACTTTCCTCCCTTTCTTCAAATAGCAGTCAACAGAAGGGAAGTGATTTAACAAGATGAGATGTGAAATAAAATCACACAGGTATTTTACACTTATTTTAACTGCCAATGAATTAAGTATACCAAAAGCTCAATAATAAAACACCTCTCCTATTATCTAGAAAGGTAGGCATAAGGAAGCAGGGGACAGCTGTCTTCTGGTTTTGTGTTTTAATAGATATCCTTCCCTGCCTCCTGAGCCCTCCTCTACAACAACAAAAATAAACCACAGGCTTGTATCCTGTGGGATCCTGCAGCCAGTGTGCCAGCCTCAAAAATAATCTTGTTGACAAGCACAGCAGCCAGCACACAGAAAGCAACAGCAGCTGCAACTGGAACCTGACCAGCAGGAAAGAATAGCAGGTGAAGAGTGTGGAACTATGCACCCCAGAAGGGAAAGTGGTTAATTTCTCCAGAGAGCAGTCTTCAAGATTTGGACTTCCTCCTCTATGCGATACTGGTAATTTATAATCAGCCTCAGCTTGTGTCACCAGGAAGACTGTTGTCTTTTTTATTATCCGTTCAAGAGTCATTTTCAAGGTTAACTGGTTAAAAAAAGGAAATGGGCATTTTACTAACAACATTTACATAATTCAATCCCCTTGTCTGTGGAAAATAAATGTCATAATTACAAGCACATATCGCTGAAAGAATTAGAGGGCTTTTATATTCCCCCTAGAGATTTGCTCTCACATTGTGTTGCTTATCTGTCTGACAAAAGTGAGTTACTTTGGACCAGGATATGAAGTGTTGCATGATATGTTTTTTTTCTCAGCAGGCCTGAAATCCCAACAATTTTTTACACTTTAGCTAGTACAGAAATGTTGCACTTTGAGGTCTGATTACTGTTATTTACCTCTTATAATTTTCTCTTGATGTTTCTAATCTCCAAATGTCTACTTTTAAAGGTTTTATGAAAAAAGGGGCTTCACCAAGGGGTCGAATTATCATTTGGTTTTCAGCTGGATTTTCCTGTCTCTTATGGATATGAAATTCTGTTCTCCATGAAGGAGAGAGTCTCTTGGTCTCTTCAAATGTGGAAGAATGTAGTTAAAATCTTTCACATTTTAAATATCATCCACTATGAATGTTTTTTAAATCAAGGGAAATCTCTTATCCAAACTCAGTTGAACGATTGCCAGTCCACAAAGGAATTCATTAAAGAGAACTATGATAATTAGCCAATTACACAGTCTTTTGTGTTCTGTGAATCTGTAAGAGCTGACGAAAAATGTAGGGGTGCATTATTGATTTTACCTAAATCTTTCTGTGACACTTTTATGATCATCCAAATGTGTGAGACAAGAAAGTCATCCTTTAAAGTGTCATCCTTTAATGTTATAGCAGATTATCCTCCTCATCTGCTGCTCTTTGTAGCTTCATAATATTGAAGTTTGTAAATATCATTCCAAGAATTGTGCCTTTAATTTTAAATCTATATATATGTATGTCCGAAGTGATGTAAAGGAACAATGACACACCACTTGCCAGGGCTGGAGGTGTGTAGGGCATCATCAGAGTTTTGATTTTCCCCTTGGCCAGGTGCCACCATTGATTACCAGGTTAATTTGGGGGTTCCAAGGGTCAACTAATTCCATACTATTGACTGTCCAGGTGCATCAGCACAGTTGAATTGATTCCTTCTTATATGTCATTCAGCCAATTTGTGTGATTGACGAGACAGGAGCTTCTGCAGAGGCCAATTATTTAAAAGAAATAAATAATAGTATCATCACAAGGTCATAAAGTCTATGTCAAGTTCTAAAGAAATAAATGCCCTTATTCCAGCACAATCACTGAAGCATACACCAAATAATACCAGTCCATTGTCTAAGGGTTACAAATGACCCTCACCAAAGGTAATAAGGTGACTTTCAAACCTTTTTGCTTCACTCCACTGCAAAATTAGTTTTTTTATTTATTTTTATTGCCCCAGCTAAATGCTTGTTAATTTTCCAAAAGGGTGTATGCAGTTTTTGAACATGTTTCTTGAAAGATAACCTTTTTTAAAAGCAAATGGAGTAACAAAAGTGGGGTAGGGTTAGGGTTAGAGCCAAATAACTTTTCATTTCACCTGCTCTATTTCCCTGACACTACTTCATGAAAAGCTATAAAACATCACAGTCAGCTTATTCGTTTGTTTATGAATCTCTTATTTGCCCCATCACCTCTTCTTTTAGGCTTCTTTCTGTGGTTAGTTTGGTTAATTCTTTACTTTGCTTGGTAAATCCTAAATTCCTAATCCTGTGACTAGGAAATTGGCCCCCAGCCAAGCAAACTAAGCCAAAAAACTCTTCATACCTAACCTTTCAATAAACATTCATAAGGCTTTTTCTGTTTAGGTTTTGTTCTTCTTTGTGAATTTGCATTTAAATAAAAAAAAAAACACTTGTCAGGCTAATGCGCAGAATGACTCTCCTCACCTTATTGCAAAGTGGGCAAGCGTGGGAGTTTGAGTGAGGGATGGCATCACCTTCCATTTTTCAAAACTATCGGCCTACTAAAAAAAAAACTGAAGCAGTACATCTCAGGACTGCTGTACGATCACCCTGGTAAACAATTACCAGCTGGTGTAATACTTTTAAATTGGCACTTCAGTCTGAACACTTTGGAGTGAACAATCAGGGAATGTTTTAATAAACAGCATAAATAGCAGCTGATGATTGAAAATATTTATCTTTTGGACGTCTTGAGTGTTCCTTATCTCAGAAACTTGCTTGTTTGAAGTGTATTTCCTGGTATGCCTAAATACCTTTAAGCAACTTGCCCGAACAAAAACATGTTCAATCGCAATGGATAAGTAAATATAGATAGCGTCTTTGACAGTACCATTGCTTGGGCTCTTTTGTTATTGTTGCTATTTTCTGGAGGACAGACACATAGACGGCAACTTTAAATTAGTGATATGCTGTTCCATAATATGTTTAGTGTTGAATACAAGAGATGACTTGTTGGTAGGAGGTAGTTTGTATACTTAAAAGTTAGGCAAACACATCGGCTTTGCTAGGAGTGTGATTTCAGGGCAGCAACCCAACTGACAACTGCACATAAATAAACAAGGCTCATTAATAGTGGCATGCATGAAGCTTTATATCTGGCATGTACAGGCAGACAATGATTAAGGATGAATTTGATGTTTTTCTGCAGTGTGATTCAGATGTGTGTCACATGGTTATGGATAAGGAAGCATGTCTTCTGCCACTTATTTCAGATAGTTATTCATGCATTAAATCCAATCTGCATTTATACTCATGTAGAAAAGGGAATAGTGACCAAATAGAGTACACAGTCAGTACTGGAATGTAATTCTTGTGTTTCTGTTCTGATTTGGTAAATTTGCAAATTTGAAAATGATTATGTTCAAGCAAGTATTGTATTGGTATGTAAATGATATAATTTGCCATTAATTATTCACAATTCATACAGGTGAGTTGACTTTGGAGTTATTTTAAAATATATCGATCTTTAAACAATAAATCAGGTGGGGTTTTTTATTTGCAAAACTAAACCCTTTTAAAGGATTCAAATGGCTGAATAAATGTTTCATTTAGAAAAATAGTTTTTAAAATCAATAGTATGTCTAGGCAAAATAATTTTAAAAAATCATCAGTTGAGAGATCTTTATATAGGGCATATATCTGTATCATCTTCAATGGCAAGGCATGGTGGCTTGCTACAGACTCCACAACCCTTTGTGTTATTAAATACCTGTTCTCTATTCGACCTCTTCTTAGAGTCAGCTGTGTACAAGGGGAAAGAGAACAGAATTTGCAGTTTACAAGTCCAAAGATATACTGATAGGCTAACTAGCTTCTCAGAAAATTGGAGCTGGTGAGTGTCTGTCTGTGTGTGTCCTGTGATAGACTGGTATCCCATCCAGGGTGTATTCTGCATTACTCCCATTGCATGCTAGGATAGGCTTTGGCTCCCCTGCAAACTTGAATTTGGTTAGAATATGGATGGATGGAATACAATAAAAATAAACTAAATGTTGCTGTTGGATTTGATTAAATTAAGAGTTAGTGTTCCTCTTTTTTTAAAAAAAGGAGGTCAAGATGCAAAACATCCAGCAATAAGTCATGTATATAAACTGAATGTAAATGGCTTTGAATGTAAGATGGATAATTTAATATGGAATTCAACAGCGAGTCAGTATAGAGAAGCTAAAACAGTAGTAACAGTATGTACTTCTAAATTTAAGATGTGGATCACTTATGACACTTCTCATTGCTTTGTTTCTCTGCGTCTCAGACTCGTACATTTTCAGAAGCACACCTTTCTGTGTCTGCGTGGGATGAATTTCAATGGGCAGAACATATTACAAGCCACTGAGGCACTGAAGATGATTTATGATTTATGTGTCATTTCAGATGATGAAGGATTTCCCTTGTTTGTGCAGAAATCAAGGGAGGACAATCGAGTACTGAGACTGGGGCATACTGAAGTAAGGCTAAATTACTCAGTCTGTTTAAATTACTTTCTCAGATTGATTTGTCCAAATTGATCGATTTAGACTTGGACTTGTTTTTAAAAAAATCAAACAAAGGTTGAAAGATTTTCTTTAAAGCAGAAGAATAAGGGAGTGAATTTAAAGGAAAGAAAGACAATGCTCAAGAATTATTCCGTGATTTTGGATACAGACCATGTCCTTTGGTGAAACCCAGCCAATAAAATCCCAAAAGGCTAAATGAAACCCAAAAAAGCTTCAAGTTTACAACTTGTCAGCCTAAGAGACAATGTGATCTGCTACCTCAGACCCTGCCACAGCTCTTTGTAGATGCAGAAAAGAGCATTTATTTTAAAATAATGAGCTCTGCAGTGCAATGATTGGAGAGCATTGTTTGTTTTTTTCCAATGAACAGTTAAAAGGACCTGAAACACATTACTGCTCTGCCTCTGAATACAATATCACTCTATTGCAGGGCCACAGAGCGATGGACAGTTGCGGCTGACAGCTCACACCTTGCCAGCACATCACCGGGAGGAAACCAGAGTACCTCAAGAAAACCCACACAAACACCGGGAGAACATGCACAGCCATCCGAGGCTGGAATCAAACTCAGGAGTTGTTCAAAATGTGATCAAAATGTGTTCCAAAACTTAGGTAACTATGAGAAACATCTTCCACATACAACAATGTACGCATTTGGGTAAGGTAACTATGAGAAACATCTTCCACATACCACAATGTAAGCATTTGGGTAGGGGAAAAATAAATCACTTGTATTATTGCATTTCAAGAACAGGCTGATTAGCTTTTTTAGGAGGCTGCCAAAATTCAGTTTAATGTAATCTGTAGCCTGCAGACCAAATGAAAAGATGGTTAGAAAATCACGAAATATTCTTTATGTTGATGGTTGAATGTAACCCGTCATGACTTTCTCTTTCAGTCACAGCAATCAATTAATGTGACTCCAGATTATGTTAAATTTGAGTCTTTAGAATGAGATGGCATACAAATGTTCAGATAACGAATACATTTCATTTAACAAGATAAATGTGCTTACAACACTTACACTGCTTACAATTTAGAAAATGTATGTCCAAGCTTGACTTGTTTTTTTCTTGGAGCCATACAATACATAGAGCAGGCAAAATATGAATGGTGGTGTTACTGTTTTCCTTATGCAAGGTAGCAGTATGATACAACATTGTTTAGATAAGAATAACAGTCTTGGTCCATCAGGTTACAGCCCCTACCTGATACAGAATCTGTAATAGGGAGTATCAGGAGCTGAATAAATCCACAGGGATCATGCAAGGACAGGTCTCACTCATCCAGTAGGGATCATACACAGTGACTGGCCAAGCCTATTTTCATGTTTGCTCTCTGCAGGCAGAGTGAGTTTACTGTATGCTTCATCATCCACCATAACATGTGCCTGCAGTATCAAGACTTTTCAGGAGGGGCTATTCCTGTCTGTGCCAGCTGTCCAGACAAGGGTCATTTGCATGAAAGACCTTGCCTCTGCTGAAATGTCCTATGCAGAGAGGGATGCGGCTCTGTGCTTTTATTTCTCTTGGATTGAAATTGCACTGTTTTGCACAAAAATTCTCCAAATAATTGAAAATGTACTGTCTTCTTGACTTCCAGGGCAAAGCGCTTTTGTGTCTCTCATTAAGATTCAGCCATAGAAACAAAGTCATAAAATATTAAGTTCTGAGCATTCCTGTCTGACCATGTCTGCAAATCGGAACAGTAGGAGAATACAAACAACCGATGCCAGCATACTGTTAAGTGTAGGCTGTCTGTGTGCTAAGCTGGTATAAGGTAAGCTACAGTATAATGTACATTTCATAAAAGCAATTGTGTATGTCTCTTTTGTGCCATCCTCTTCAGTCATCAGGAGGTAAAGTGCTGAACAGTCCTTTTAAAACACTTGCAAATGGAAAACAAGACTTGTGCAAGATTTATAGTCTGTAAAAAGCCACGGGCAATAAAGTTTCTGAAAAAAAATAATCTAATACCAGAAATTTTGGATTGGTTGGCTGATTTCCCAGAAAAATGGGGCCCCAGTTTGCATTTACTTCTTTTTGTTAATAATGACCTTTCAGTTAGAATGAAAGGCACCTGTAATAGCCTGACTAACAATATTCTCTGATTTCTATAGAAGATAGGTTTTTCATTCATTTTCACTCACAAAAGGAGTTAGAGAGAAAAAAAACAATCAAACTTTCAATCTGTAGATCTGTCAAAGTACTGTTTTAGTGCTTATTCGATAGTAGTTTAAAATTACACAGGGAAGTTGAAAGATGAACAGTGGTCCACCTTAAATAATAATCTCCTTGGTACCCCATCATCAGAAAAATTTCTTTACATCACTTTATGAACCTCTTTTTTAATAAGACAAATAAAAAAGAGAAGCTTAGATATAAACATACTGCATAGAGCTTGAAGTGAGCCCAGTCTTCAGGGCAGAAGCGGGTGGGGGGGAGGGTGGAGATGGAGATAGACTGCCACAGAGAGTCTGGTACTGACCAGGAGAGTAATAAGCCAGTTGGAGTTGTGCGGGAGTCTTTGGCTTGGCAGCGTGTAGAACAAGTCGCCACACATGCCTCCACATCTGCCCTCATGGATGGCCACCAGTCTGGATGAATAGCCCCAGTTTAACACTTCTGGCTTGACCTTTTGGGGCACAAACTGTTAACCCGGTGGGAGCGTCAGGAGGAAACAGGGCTAGAGACTAGGGAACCCTGGGAGCACAGATCCTCGACAAGGTGTCAAGTCCTGTTCTTCGTTCCAAGGAGAAGAACGGGGCCCAATGCGCTTGCCAATGGTTGCATTGTAGTTTCTGAAAAAATAATTAATCTAATACCAGAAACCTTTGATTGCTTGGCTGATGTACTGTAGGTTTTAATAGTCCGTGAAGACCAAGAAAGGTTGCAAGGCTCCCCGTAGGAGGTGTCTCCACTCTTTTGAGGCTCATCTTGACTGCCAGCAGTTCTCAGTCGCCCAAGTCATAATTGTGCTCCACCGGAGTTTCCAGGACAAGGCACATAGATGGATCTTGGGTGGCAATCCAAAATTTTGAGACAGGGCTGCACACACTCTCATATCAGATACATCTACTTCCATCTCAAAGGGTAATGAGGGATCCAACTGGTGAAGGATTGGGGCTGTGGTGAAGTGGCACAGTTTTCTTGCAGGCCTCTTATGTGTCAGGGCTCCAACTGCCCTGGCCAGGCCCCATTCCTGGTGAGAGTTATGATAGGGGATTTTGTTTTGGAAGACGGCCGGAACATTGCACAGGCCAAAAGGCAGTACTAGGTGTTCTTAATGCCCTGCTTTGGTATTGAAAGACATCTTTCACTTGTTGCCTTCCCACGAGGTGTGGATCAGGTTGTGCCCCTCAGATCTACTGTATTTTAGTAATGATGGAGGACTTGCTGGCCCTCTTCAGCAGCGATGGAATCAGAGGTAAACAGTACCAGTTCTTCTTCATGATTTTGTTTAGTTCCATGTTATCAATACAGGGCAGAAGAGGTCCATCCTTCTTTGGCAAGACGAAGAAACTGGCTCCATTGGGGAAGAGAATGAGGGAATGAAGCATGTATGGAGGTTTTCCTACATTTACTGTATATTTCAGAGGCTGACAGACAGACCCAAAGTGATGTGGTCAATTGAGCCATCAGAGATGGATGAGGCAGGACAAAGCCAGAGGGGTGGAAGTTAACCCAGCCTTTAGGGAAAAAAACAAACAGGGGTAGGGGCTGCACTGCTGTGAGAGATCAGCTCCAGTGGTCGGGACACAGGTTGCTGATAGGCAGAGCAGGTTCATGACTAACTGAAATTCTTCAAGGAGGATTGAGGTTGAGTATTCCACTGTGACACGGGTTAGTACTGTTTAATGAACTGCCTAGGTCTGAGGATTGCTCAATGGTAGAGCACTGGATCAGTGGCAAAACAGTGGCAAACCCATTGGATTGAGCACATGTTAATTTGGTTGGAGGGGGCCAGATCACCCTGAGTGAGTCCGAGCAGCCCCGGGTGGAATGTGGCTCATCGTGGGAATGTGTTCAGTTTTTGAGGAAGCCAACGACTGTGAGCTCTCACCCACCAGGGAATAATACATACTGTACCTTCAGCATAAGAAATGTGTCCTACTCTTCTATTGCACGTACAGTAGTTAATAGTAACATCTGTTTAGTATTCAAAATTCTAAATAAGACCACCTAATATTTTCTACAATATTGTGTATTATAGAAAATAAATTCACCCTACCCCACCTCTGAAAAGTGATTGATTGTTGCATAGCATTAGGATTCTGCAGCAAATGATAACGTTCTACTGGGTAAGCAGTAAATCCAACGGATTTATTCATATTTTGAAAAAAAAACGCATTCTATGTCACTGCTCTGCTCCTGCAGAACAGATTTTTTAATCATTCTACATCTCTAATCTATGTGAACAGTCACTGATGACTAGTTTGTGTTTCAAAGCATAAGTAAATCTCCCATAATTCCATTCCATTATCCCTTGCAACTATTAAAAACACATGTTCAGTGATCTCTCAGCCTGAGATGAACTCTGATTAACATCTATTGGCATATCACAAATAAATTAAGCGTCTAGGTTTCTTGGACTGAGATCAGGGACAGAAGAGTGCTCTCAGTCAAAAACAGACTATAAAGAATCAATACATGTGTACTCACATAGCTACTCAGGAATTTTCATTTATTTTTTAAAACAAAATCTGTGTATTCATATAAGTGTTGTTACTGTGTTTGGTTACCTGTTTAGCCAACATGGTGAGTCATGGTAAATGGTGTTATTAATCTCTTAATTCTGCAGTAAAATTGAATGTGGTTGGACATTTATTAGCCATATGCAGTAAATACTTACAGAAAATGTATTGGATTCTGATTTACCAATTTTGATATTCAATGAAAGTTACAGATCATATGTTCATCATCACTTGATCTTGGACTACCTAAAGTAAGTGTAATATGCTGAATTTATTCTAAGTCCATTATAAAACTACCTCTGTCATTTTCCATCCTGTTTTTAACTACTTAAAAAGGTGTGTGCAATTATTTACAATTAGACATTGAATCTTGAATGGTCAGAGAGAACAATCACCTGTATATATGATTTCCATATGTTTCTCAAACGTGAGTTTCTTGAGCAGATTACTATTTAAAGGGTTAAATAATTATAGGGATTTATTATTTGTAGATTATTCTGTTCCCAGTCATTTGGTCAGTACATTGGGTGTAGAAAGATGTACAGTTTTTACAGGCATAGAGAGAAATACTTATACTTAGCCTTATCTATCTTCATTGAATCTGGTTTACCCATGATTTATTATAGTGCCAAGGAACATGTTTTGCATTTTATTTTTCATTGATGGCCTTTAATATAATAGATCATTACCATTTAATCTTCATTCATAACGTCTTGCCTTTTCTCTGCTGTACGTTGATCGCACTGAACTTGAATATCAGTACTTCATTATTTCTTACACATATTAAATCAGTAGCCCTTGCTGCTACACTAAGCAGTACTGAAACACATTTACAGTATAAAGACTAATTATTCAGTCATGATAAAAAATGTTGTAGGGAAGATTAAACAACAAAAGAATGCACAGCCAAGAACATTAGATAGAATATTAACAGAACATCACCAACAATGGTTAAAGCTTCCCTGTTAATGGAAAAACACAGAGACAACACCATTGTTTTAGACTGTGTGACATTAATAATGGCTTTGTTGAATCCTGAAACTGACACAACAAACCAAAAATAAATACTTTTTGTTTTCTTAAAACCCAACCTATTGAGACAAACCTTCTAAATGACAAATCGCTTACAATACGAACATTGAAAATGAAAAGTCATGTCTTAAGTCATGATCATCACACCTGAAGAAGGCCCCACGGCCAAAACGTTGTTTTCTTTCTTCTTTTTTTCAACATGGAATAAACCTACTACTTGAATCATTACAATATGTTCAATAAATGTGTTTATGTATAACTACAGAGGTTCCTGCATCAAAAATAACGATCATGACTCTATTAAAAACACAAAATATTAAAATTGTCTTAATGTCCTACAAGCATTTCAGAAAGCAAAAACTTACTTTCCTTCATTTAATAATAATGTACAAAAAGTATATAAACACAAACACTTTCTTTATTTCATATCATCAGTACACATGCATGAAAAAATAACCTAACTTCTAAATTGCTAAGTCACAATGCAACTTAGTAGGCTAATAGATTGATTTAATATAGACGAGACGATTACTGCTTCCCTGTATCATTTATTACCTGCTTTGCTACATTACAGTTTATAAACATTTTTGTGTACAAAATAAATCCAATGCAGAAGTTAAAATTGATTTTGAAAGTAACAGCTGTATTATAGATTCCATCCAACGATTTTCAAACCATGGCTTCCGATTCAGGGTCACAGGGGAGCCTGCATGGAACGCCAGTCCACCAAAGGACAGCCACAACCACACACTCAGACCAGGGTCATTTCTCCCAGAAATTAACCTGCCAGTACTCTATTTTTCTGGACAGAGGGAGGAAACTGGAGCACCCAGAGGACTCCCACATGAACTTGGGGAGAACATGCAAACACTGTGCAGACAGCACCCCAGGTCGTCCGGAGTTTAACCCAGGGCCCCAGGGCTGTTAAACACCCTGCACCGCTAACCCACTGCACCGGCCTGGCGTCCTGTTAGATATTTCTGAAAGTTAAATGCATCTTTTTATCTGTTCACCCTTCTGCCTCAAACAAGCTCTTGACTGCTTTCTATCCATGCAGATCATCTAAAATTATATTATATGACAGGCATTAAAGGAGGCATATGGAAATACTAGATGTGTACTGCACCAAAAAAATCACCAACCGCTATAAAGCTGGCATTTAGAAACCTAGAGGAAAGAGTCAAAGCTAAAAATTATCCAGAGCAGCAGTGCAGAAATTCTTCACACATGGCTTAGAAATCAGACATTACTGAGAGAAGAGTTTGCCGAGAAAATAACTATACAGACCCTCTTTTTGTGTGCAATGTTTATTTAAATCAGTACAAGAACAAATGTCATGTGTGCATTCCAATTAAACTGATATAGCTGATTTATAAATCAGTATTTTAAGCATTTTTTTTTGGTCTAAAGAAATAAAGCGGGCATACAGTTTCAACTGAAGTGTCGCCATAGAGATAAAACACCATCACCTGTAATTTCTATCAGCTGGACAATGAAGGAGACGCACAATCATGCAGGTGAAAGCTTCTTCTGTTGCTGTGGTGACGTCTCACGTGTCTGATAGTTGGACTTTGATTGGTCGAAACCTTCGAAAGCGGTCTGATTGAAAATAATTACTATGTGTCACTGATGGACCCACAACAGCTGAGTGTACAACATGAGCTGATAATTACGCTTAATTTGAATTCAGGTTAATTTTATGAGAACTATATATAGTCGAAGTGACGCCAACTTCCTTAAGGGAGGATTTTAATGTAAAGTAGAAATATACTCTGTGGCTGCAGGGCGTGCATTATCTGGATTACGCGAATTAAAAGGTTTGAGAGGTTTAATTTTAATTTTCGCTCTGTGCTACTTCTAATGCGAGATGTTCATAACTTCTGAAGGCGACCGTGTTGTTTTAGTGGTGAGCCTATTTGTACGCGAAAACGTACGTGGTATATTGGCTTCCTAATTTACTGGCTAACAACTTGCCACACGGGCACGGTAAAAAGCAATCCAAGTAGAATGACATGCATGGCATCTTTAGAAACTAACCTAATTATCCTAATTTTACTTTTCTTGCACCTAAGCTGATCATCTGGAGATGAGTTATTTCCTGGTTGGGGGCTGCAGGAACAAGGAGAACCTGGCTCCTATAGTACAGAACTTCATGGAAGTACCTCGCTCACAGTGGGATTTGAGGCCGAAACAAAGGGCTGTACTAGGATCTCTAAGTGAAAATGATCAGCACAGCAGATCATTTGGTCAGGTGAGAGGTTTTTAATGTATAACTTCAGCTGCCTTGGGTCTTTATGCACTTCATAAATCAATCTCCTAAATTGGCCAAGGCCCTGTAAGAGATTGCATATTTTGGCAGTCTGATTTAAGATTAATCCTAAAACAGTTTAAATGTAAATGTGTACCTAGCATTTGCATTCTGCTCTTGGTCTCATCCTAGCTGGCTTGATGTGCCCTGGCAATAACTTGTATTACTTAACCCTTTTAAGGGCACTCTGCACTCCAAGAATGGATCGCTTTGGGATAATGCATTCCCTTCATCCCAGAAGATGGCTTTTCCTACTTGTCCCTCTACATCAAACTTTGAAATCTATGTGGAGGAACCTGATGCGATTGTCCAGTCTGTCCCCAGCACACGACTGTCTGAAGAACCACCGCTGCAATATGAAGAGTCCTCCATGTTGGAGCACAGAGAGTTCTGCCTCTTCTTGGACCTTAGTTCGGGTAAGTAGTCTCAGCTACAACAGAACTGAAGATGGCTCCCCTATATTCAGAGTGGAAGTGCAACATGTTCTTGTGCAGAGCTATGATTGGAAAATGGCATCTCAAGTCTAGCTCTGCTTCATTTTATGTTGAGCATCTTTTAAGGTGGCAGGGCCCACTAGATCATGTATTCAAAGGACTTATGGTTTTACATGCTTTTGTCTCAATGACTGCCATTAAGTGAAACTATCCAGTTTCACTTCATTCCTAAAGTGAAGTATCCATCTATGTACAACACATCTAGGGTTTAAGTAAATTTACAAAGAATAATGGTTTGTGTTTCTGTGGTTCACCACACTGGATCTTTTTGTTGGAGTACTTATTTTCTTTAAATATGATTCATGCACTTGGCCTCACTTGTGCTGATTGCTGGCCATTTAGTAAATATGCAGTTGATTTTTATGCATGAACATCTTATTACCACTAATGATAACTGCAATGGACTAGTCAATATAATTACCCACTTGTAATGTTGCACAGTCACTACACTAGGTACTGTTACCTGCTTTACTCAGCAGGGTCATGCCAGGATGCATCCATGCAATCTCAACCAGAGGATGAAGAGCCCTTGCCACCTCCAGATTCGCTCGAATATGTGAAGGACATCTATTGCCACTTGAGGGAGAGTGAGGTGGGTTCTTCATAATTGGTACCCCCCCTTCAGGAAATGGGTGCTTATCCCTAACAAGCTCTGTAACCTTCAGGTCAAGTGCAGACCCAAGCCTGGGTACATGAAGAAACAACCGGACATTACCAACAGCATGCGCGTTATCTTGGTGGACTGGCTGGTTGAAGTTGGGGAGGAGTATAAACTGTGCCTGGAGACTCTCTACCTGACTGTGAACTACCTGGACAGATTTCTCTCCTGCATGTCTGTCTTGCGAGAGAAGTTGCAGTTAGTGGGGACAGCAGCTGCTCTTCTTGCGTCGTAAGTACAGGGCTCTTGGGAACCTACCTGCTCATTGATGAATTCCAGGCTGAGAAGATGAGCACCTTTTTAAACTAAAGATGGAGAGGAGAGTTTAGAGGTGTTCATTCCTAATGTGCCCCTGCATTTTCTAGGAAATATGAAGAGATCTACCCCCCAGAGACTGACGAGTTTATCTACATCACCGATGAAGCCTACACAAAGAAGCAGCTGCTACGGATGGAGCACTTGTTTCTCAGGGTCCTAGGCTTTGATATGACTGTACCTACAACTTATCAATTCTTGAGGCAGTTCCTGACTATTGAAGCAGTCTGTAGTAGAACAGAAAACCTTGCCCTAGTAAGTACACTTGGCAATTTGGCTTTCAAAACCAAAGCCCTTGTGCAGATCTGGCACTTCACCAAAAGATTGGGTGAGGGGTAACCAGTTAATGTTGCTCAAACCCAGTTCTTTGCTTCCAGTATGTATCTGAACTAAGCCTGCTGGATGTGGACCCTTTTCTAAAGCATCTCCCATCTAAGGTTGCTGCAGCAGCATACTGTCTTGCAAACTACACACTTAATGGGAGACTGTGGGTAAGCTCCTCTCTTATACTTGTATAGCTAAGCATTCTAAAGCCTTCTCTGTGGCCGGCTAAATGAAGCTTCTTGTCTCAAACAGCCTGAATCTCTCTGTGCTTTCACTGGTTACTCTGTACATGAAATTGCACCTTGCCTGCAAGATCTTCACAAGGTGTATCTTGGTGCAGCTGATCGACCACAACAGGCCATGAGAGTAAAGTACAAGAGCTCTAAGTAGGTGAACTTTTTTTTTTAAACCACTCCTGATTTGTGACTTGATCTGTAGTAATGATTTATCCTCCTTTGCAGGTACTGTGGTGTATCTTTAATAAGCCCTCCAGACTCCCTCCCAGTGCATTAAAGGATTCCACTAGCCCTCCCCGGAATGGATCATGTGAACAAATGGCACTTAACTTGGCTAAAGTTGATTTTGTACCCTTGGGACTCCAGGAGATGACCTGCAAGTGCCTCAGAACTTTTAATCTTTTTATTTTTTTACAATGTTTATGATGGTTCTGAGATGGCTATCAAATGAACAATAAAATTTTATCCTAAGTAACTTCTGCTTGCTTTTTGAACTCCTTCACTGAGTACCCTTACCTGCTTTAAGCTTATGTGCTTAAGCATTAATGGAAGGCAACTATATTCTTTATTGCCATTTTCCTTGTATCCCTTACAGTAGGCTGCTATTAACCCCCTCTCCCTGATACTGTACTTCAAATTAAAAGGGGCTTTCATCTGAGGCCTTAATGACTTCATCACCTTTAGTATTCCTATAGCAGGTTAAGTTGCTATAGATGACTTAGTCTGTCCTTAAAGTTGCTGCTACCTGGTTTAGCAAAGCATCCACTAAACTGAAAAGGTGCCTTCTGGAGTTTTTCCCTACTTGTTGCATCCAGCTGACCTATGACTGCCTGCCATGGTCTGTCAAGCTTTCAATAATGTGGCTGTACTGCACCTGTAGATCCAATCCATGCTAATGGCTGTGGTTTGCATGGATGTGTTGTGCTGGAACTGTAAGGATTATTCCACCCTGTGTTGAAATAATGCTCTAAGTGTTTGAGTTAGTTACTGCAGCTTTATGCTTGGTGAGTTCAGATCCATGTGCCTATTCCGTGTTTTCCATGTAAGAAAACATGGAATCAATCTGGTCAGATTAACTTGACAGTTTTGACACTCTGGGATCTTGATGCCTAGAAAGACATCTCTTTATATAACTTCCTTCCCCCCCCCACTCTACAGAGTAGTGTACTTGCAAAGCGATGAGTCTTATTGCAAGGATTTTGGGGGCACAGTCTGAGATCTTCAATAACTAGGTACTGGTGTACTATTCTTGGTGCTATTGGAATGTCAATTTACTACTCAAAATATATTAAATATACCTGGATTATAATCCTGGAGGGCTAAACAGTTCAATGTGTAAATTCTAGTTGCAGTCCTTAAATGCTATTGCACTAAATAAAGATATGACTACTTTGAATTTGATCAAATAACCTGCTCTTATGCACTTTGAATATTGTAGAGCTCTTCTGAAGTATACAGTGCTTTTCTGCCTTTATTTTTAAAGTCCTGATGAATGGGTTATTCTTAAAACATAACGGAACTTGTCGAATTTTTTTTGGTGCTTTTCAAACGAGGTTGAAACGAGTTTAAGATTCTTAAAGTGTGGTGTTTTCGTCTTTGAAAGTTGATTCGAAGGATGCCTGGGTTCAACCAACGAAAGGAAAGGTTGCCATCTAGCGTTTCCATCAGGTAGCGCTCGTAGTTGAGGTGTTTGTCCTTCTGTGTCTGCCGTAGCCAGTGGAACTTTCTCGGACAGGTGATGCGGGCGGGCATATGACCCGTCTGGGGATAATCACTTTAGACGTAATCAGGATTGGATTATATACGACTGCGAGCTCTAATAAACCTGTATGGTAAACTGTTTAAGATTATATTGGGTTTCTTGAAACTGAAGAAATAAAGGGGGTTTCAGTTTTCGTTACAATATGTTACACATCATGTAACTATTTTTCTCTATAATTTCTTGCTACCTCTGTTAAAGGCTTTTTAAGAGGTTACTGTGCTAATATTTCGAGAAGATTTTGGATCCGCCAGACAAAGCTACAGTACTAGACAGGTAAGATGTATTAGCCTATACGTAGCTAAAGATGTTCTTTTCTAAACTTTAGTGATAGTTTAGGTGAGATTTAGTTGGTTCCCATAATTACATGGTTAGTATAGAGTTAACTGATTAAACAAATATAGTTAAAATGTGTATTAAAAGATGAACCTCGTGTAGACCTGGTTGAAAGGTTTAGTTCTTTGAAAGGAGCAGGCGATACGATTATTAATTACTTTTTAATACAACATTGCCTTTTATTTTAAACATGTTTAAAACTAAGACGTCACCCAGCAGCATACCTGGTTGTTAACGTATGTTTTTTTTTAGTCACTAGATTAAAATCCTGTGTTCCCTACAATCCGAAAAGCCCCTGATTTGGGTTTTGAAAGATGAATGTTCAAAACGTGTGAAACTGTCACGGGGTGTTTCAGGAGCGACTGCATACTTTTAATGACGTCTGTGAGATCCACCGTTAACCTGTACAAATATGTCTGCAATGCATTGTTTTAGTAATTTGGAAATTGTCATTCTATTTAAACGTGAAATTTAAAAACCCTGAGACATGTCCTCCGGGAGCTGTCTTGGATTGGCTCCAGTAACTACAGCAGTAGCGGTTCACGCCTAAAAATACTTAGATTTTCCAAAGGATAAAACCGAGATTCTCTGTTGAAACTGTGTAGACGCTATCTGCTCCTTTAACATTAGGCATAACCCAGTTTTGTTGTAAACAGTCTCTGTCTTGCCTGAAGCAATAATGTGTTTCACCCGGATCTTCAGTAGAGAAAATAAGGCTCACTCTCGTACCATAGGAGGCTCTTGAATATATATAAAACATGCTCACTGTGTGATACTGGTGACCTTTTGTGATTAGATATTCTCTAAAATGTGAGAAGTAGTAAAAACGAAATACCTTTTTTTTCAATGGGTTGGAAATAAATTCTAGAAATCTAATGCACTGGAAATCTAATCACCTTCAGGAGTCCCTGAAATGTCACATTTTTCTTAGTGTGTGTGCGCCCATTACTCTGCGTTTCTGCTGGTTAACAGGCATGGAGAAGGTGGAAGCAGAGGAGCAGAACGATGCCAGAGTGCAGGTCATCAAAGAGGACTACCAGAAGGCCTTCGAGTTCATCAACAGGGGGCTGACGGAGGATGAGGCAGGCCACAAGGCCGAGGCCCTGATGCTCTACAGGCAGGGGCAGCAGCTGCTGCTCAGGGGGCTCAGCGTCCCCTCTCGGGGGCCCGAGTGCACAGGATCTAGGTGGGAATCTGCCAGGCAGATGCAGCAGAAGATGCAGGAGACGCTGACCAACATCACGACCCGCCTGGTGGCGCTGGAGCCCGACGGAGCTGGGACAAGCCCGGGTCCCGCCAATGGGGAGCTGGGGTCAAGGAGCTGCGACGGTTTGTACCCAAAATTGCCTTCAAAGGAAAGACCAGACAGGCCCCCTCCCCCAAAGGTCTTGTTCCCAGAGGGTCAGCCTCCCGGGGCTGTAGGCGGGGTGCCTGTCCCTGGAACTGCCCCCACGTGTCAGGGAGTCTCTGGGGAGCTGCCCCCAGCCTACTCTCCGCAGGCTGCCGATGGCCACTTCACCATCTCGTACGGGACAGATGCCGGGGAGCTCTCCCTGGTCGGAGAGAACTTCTACAGCTCGCTGCCCACGCAGCCGCCGTCCCTCCAGAGCCTGGGGGAGGATGGCGAGGAGCTGCTCTTCATCCAGCAGGGGGTGCAGATCTTCTTCGTGACGCCGGAGGGCCAGGTGAGCGCCCCGTCCTACCCTGGCTACCTGCGCATCGTCAAGTTCACCGGCGACCACTCCCAGGCGGCACCCCGGCGGCCTCCCGCTTTCCTGCAGGTGAGGGATCTTTAAAACCCCACATCTTTGTGGGGGTGAAAAAAGAGCACCGGCATGCCCTTTCTTTCAGTGATCACCCTATGGCGGTTTACTCAAAAAAAAAAGAGCCTTTCTCAGCACAAGAAGCATTCTCCACCCGCTGACATTTTAAAAAATGCTTTGGCATTTGAAAGATTATTTGCGTTTGAGTCCTGCAGCTGGCAAATCATTTCTCTGCCGAAGCTAAAAAGGTAAAAACTGTTAACTCATGAAGTTACAGGGGCAGATTAAAGGAATGTCAGTTGGTGAAAAATGACATCAAAGCTGGAGAGACGGTATGAATGTTAATCAGCAGCCTTTATTAATGTGCAAGTAAGTCCCCTTTCTTGAGACAAAGTGTAAGATTGAGACTTCAGTTGGAGCTTGGCAGGAAAGGTAACTTAAAAGGCATCTTTTTATTCACAGAATGGAAGCTTCCGTCCTTTTAAGAAAATTGGTCTTCCGTTAACCTGAAAAACGGGTTTCATATGGTGCCCCGTAACATGGTTTTCCTGGTGCTGTTTCTGACAGCTGACATTTAAGATTTGTTTTCTTATTCCTGTCTTATTGTATTGAAATAGCTGGTTACAGGATAAAATTAGTCACAGTAGAACAAAACTATCGGCACTATTCAGAGTCAAGCAAGGGATGCGCCTTACACAATGAGTATTTGGTGACATTTGTTAATAACAGTATATTTTGAATATTTTTATGTTTTGTAACGTGGACTGTGGTAAAAACCTCCTTTTTGCGATGAGCAAGTGTTGCTACCCACTTGGCCTACCTTGCAGTATTTTAACTTAAATTTAAATCTTTTTAAACTTGCAGTATTTTAAAACCCCTTTTCTTTTAATTTTATTAGACTAATGTAGTTTGCAGTTTTACAAATAGATACTTTATTGATCCCGTGAGGGAAATTGCAGATATATTTTAGACATATTAGATGATTATGATTTATTGAGGACATTTAGCAGCCTGCTAACACTTACAATAGGGAGAAAAAAATTAATACTTTCAGTTTTGAAGAGAAAAGGGCATCTGATATTAAAACTGTCATTCTCAAAAAAGAATAAGTTCAGTTCTCTTGCAGCATTAAACAGACAGAAGGGAATAATCATCAGCATGCAAGCAATAAGCAGACATAAGTGATTGCTTCCTGCAAAACAGGATCTAACACACAGAAGTAGGTCAAGAGTCAAAAAGCTTACTACAGCTAATGCCCAAACAGGGATATTGCAAGAAGGTAAAAATGATGTTTTCATACAGTAAATGTGCTTAAATCACATCTGAGAAGAGAGAGAATTTCCTCTAACAGAACCTGAAATCAGGAAGGTGGCTATCAATGTGAGATATGATCTGTGCCACATAAGCAGTACATTGACCTGGGTACACTGAGGTCTGTTGGCAAGATGGTGCGGCACAACAGAGCTCTGATTACAAGGTAGAAGTCGACGATTCAAGAGAGGACTTGCAGAGGTGCATGAAACTGTTAAAAGAAAGAAAAAGAGTCCCCTTATGTGATTCTTACTGTAGCTCACACAGGCTTTTTGTACATGAAAGTTCAGAAGGACATACAGTGGCTCCAGACTTTCATTCATTCCTGAACAGTCAGCGGGGAGTTTTTTTTATCTAGGTTCAGCTTCAGAGATCACGAGGGTGATTAAGTTTTATTAGTTAATATATAATTTTATCAAAGGATATGGTTGTTCTTATATTGTATATATTTTAACTTTTAATTTCAACTTAACCAATTACAATTCTTGGTAATTGCTGGCAAAACTGGATCAGACATTTACTTGTTACCGTCTTAAAGTAGTTAGCCCTATCAAAATTAGACTGTTGTTTATTTTCAGTGGTTACCTCATTGGTACTATATCTGATACTACCCAAAATCGTAGACTTTAGCACATTCCCTTTGATTACTTAAAAAATCAAAAAGGTCCAAAAATGTTATTTTCATGTGATTTCTTTATTAAATTTAGCTTTATCTATGTAAAATGCAAACCCTTAAATTGTCAGTTTAAAGTCCTCTTAATTGACTATGTGCATCAGTTAAAGCAGGTGACTTCAATTCCTGCAGTCTCAGGGTTGACCTCACTGTAATCAATAACACATCTTGTTTACACTGGTCCTAGCGACACTGTAAGAGACTGCCGGGTAATTTTAGTCAACGGCAGAGATCAGCTGATATAGTTCTGTTGCATTAAATGTGGCTCCGCATTCCTGCCTTTTCAGATCACTTGCATATTATGAAGCTGCATGTCATGTGCAAACACACAACTTTCCACATTTCTAAAGCAAAATTTGTTAAAAGAGACCATTTTGAAAATACTTCCAGGGATTTGCCTTAATTTGTTCAGAACGTCATGGTGCAGTGTATCATATGAAATGAGCTGTTTCTGATAACTAACAATGGAGAATTGTATTCTAGCTCTTTGTGGGACAGTTCAGGTGTTGGAACTATTTTCACCAAGTTTTCTAAAAGAAATGTGAGAGCCATTTTTATGGTCACAGACAATGCTCCATCAGACCCAAGAGAAAGTCACATTTGTTGTGACTGGAAAATGCAATTGAACTGTCCAGAGAAGGACCTTTTAATTTAATCAGTATCCAAAATCACCCATGCACAAATAGTATAGTAATAATGATTTTGATACTCAGTATAGATTTTTTTTTCCACCCAATTTATCTAATCACCAATGGTGGTAGATATTTTTCTTATTGCTATTAATGTGTTTAAGTATGTAAGGCCACCCAAACAACAATATCAACAATCACTGCTGTTTATATTGATACATACGTACATCAACCCAAGGAGACCATGCATAAAACAGAATACACATTGTAATTAGAACTTGACCATGAATCAGACATTTTACCTTTAACACAGAAGTCTGTTTTAGCACAATTTGGAAATGTGGTATTTCCTTTCTGAGGCAATGAAGATTTTTTAGTCCCACAATCTTTGCCTCAGTTACAAGTCAGTGCTCTTTGTGTGTCTATCTACAGCTACAGTTTGCCAGCAGCCATATCACCCAGCAACTTATAACTGGCAACCCAGTGAAGCTAAGCAGGTGTGAGCCTGGTCAGTACCTGGATGGGAGACCTCCTGGGAAAAACTAAGGTTGCTGCTGGAAGAGGTGTTAGTGGGGCCAGCAGGGGGGCGCTCACCCTGCGGTCCATGTGGGTCCTAATGCCCCAGAACGCCAGAACGTCTGGGGAACGTCTATAGTGACGGGGACACTATACTGTAAACAGGTGCCGTCCTTCGGATGAGACGTAAAACCGAGGTCCTGACTCTCTGTGGTCATAAAAAATCCCAGGGCGTTTCTCGAAAAGAGTAGGAGGGTTACGCTGGTGTCCTGGCCAAATTTCCCATTGGCCCTTACCAATGATGGCCTCCTAATAATCCCCATCTATGAATTGGCTTCATTACTCTGCTCTCCTCCCCACTGATAGCTGATGTGTGGTGAGAGTTCTGGCGCAATATGGCTGCCGTCGATCATCCAGGTGGATGCTGCACATTGGTGGTGGTGGAGGGGCCCCATTACCTGTAAAGCGATTTGAGTGTCCAGAAAAGTGCTATATACAGTAAGTGTAATAATAATAATAATAAGCAATTATTTTTATTATCTGCCAAACTGAAAAGGTAAACAAAGGAACAACAAATTTGTGCACACATCCACCTATATATAAAATGTTCAGTAACATTTCAAGTAACACTGGAAAGCAAGAAGACTAACATATGAGTGAACATTTGTAGAAAAAAAATCTTAAAGTTCCATTAAAAAATTCCATCTTTGTCAACTCAAGATGGTAGTTTTATGTTGCTCAGACATCGAATTTCAATTCTTTAATGGATTTTTGAGAATAAAGAGTATTTCTCCATGTTTCTCCTTGTTATGCATCCTCTTGCTTTTGAAGTATGTTATTGAATTGAGATTTTTTTCTTTTCTCTTCATGTCATCTTGGACTCTTGATAAAGACATTTTATGCAAGTCCCACAAAGTTGAGTAACTGTAACTGAGTGATACACTGTGGAGTGAGATCACTGTTTCTTATTTCTGACCATTGTACTGATCTTATTTTCTGTAACTTGGCATTTCTCAACACATAACCATCACATTTCTACTTATCTCCACATATTGGATATCCTTCATAGTCTAAAACTCTCCAATAATTTATGTTTGGCTGAATGTTCTTCCACCAACTAGAACAGCACAGAGGTCTTAACAATTTACAAATTGAATATACATATTTAATTAATATTACAGAAGAACAGAACAAGGTCTTCTAGGGGTCAAAATGTTAACATTTGGGTTTGTTCCCAGGCAGTTGTGTGGTTTTCATTTTCCATGCATATCGAGCTCTTAAGCTAGGTCAAGCTTAAGCTTAAGATGTTTATCATGCAGTCTAAAATTACTTGTTTGTCTTCACCTGGCAGGTCTGCGACTGGCTGTACCCCTTAATGTCGACGGACTCTCCTGTTCTGCTGTGTAACACAGGGGTGTACATGTTCCCTGATATGATGGCTCAGATTCCAGGATCCTATGTGGGAGTGGTGCTGTCCTCAGAACTGCCTGAGGCAGACCGAGACCTCTTCCAGGACCTGATGTCCCAGATGACTGATTTAAGAGTTCAGGTGAGTCGTAACAGTCATATTTTAGGAGCTCACTTCAGATGTTCCTTGGGAATTGTTCCTCTGATTAAGTATTGATAATATCCATTTACATATATTGAGTCATTAGTTTTGATATGCTAATGAAACATATACTCTATACAGTATGTGATATTTGTTTACCCCGTAGAGCATTTGTTTACCCCATAGGGCCGTAGAGCATGAGACTCATAATCTCAGGGTAGTGGGTCCGTGGCCGACGTTGGGTGCCTTGTCCTCCATGTTGGAGGTTAAGAGAGATAAGAGAAGATCACTTTATCAGCCATATACAATTTCTTGTATTAGGAATTCTTCTTTTCGCATACCCCAGCTTGCTCTCCATGAGACACAGAGACACAGACAGGAAGAGAAGCTTGGGGTCAGAGCACAGGGTCAGTCCCTGGAGCAGTTGGAGTTAAGGGCCTTGCTCAGGGGCCCAATGGAGTAGGATTCCTCTGCCAGCCGTAGGATTTGAACCTACAACCTTCCACCACAGGCGCAGATCCTTAGCCACAGAGCCACCGCTCCGCCACTTGTGTTGGGCACAAGGCTAACAACCCTGTCCCGTAAAAACCAAATGTTACGGTAACAGCAACAGAATGTTGCTGTCCTATGTTTCGGAAGCCATAAACAGGCAAACATCCATCCATGCATCCATACTGCAGGTTAGGTTTATTATAAAAAATAGTGCTAGTAGTACTTTTAGCAAAATCCACTCTTGTGGAAAAACTTTTTCTTGGTTCATTAATTTTGAAGGTTAAAGTTTTTAATTCTACAGGGTTTGTAGCACAGTATTGTAGCCATTTTTTAAATTCTTCCAGTTATTAATATGAACAGCTGTCATATGTAAATTACATTGGGTGTAATTTGATAATACAGTCAGTTGATCAATTAAAAAGCTGAAAACATCTTATGGATCAGACCGAGGAAAACTTTCCTGCAGTTGGTTGCGTTTCCCCCAACGTTATCCCCAACACGGGCTAGTATAACAGATTGGAATATGAATGTAGTCACGCCGTGTTTAACAGGAACTACGCTTTTGGAATGCATCCTATTACCATAGCATTACACAAAGCATAACCTGGCTAAAATGTTGATGCATTTGAATAATAAGTGTAAATAATAATAAAGTGTAAGGCTGTCCTGATGGAGGTTTTAAGAGAGCAACGCCTTTATTTTCACTTTTGGTGGCAGGCTTTCATTCTTGAAGTTCAGTTCAGGTTTTGCCTTCACTTTAAAATTAAATTTAACAAAAAAATATAAATGCCTGTACTTTACCAGTATTTTAAAATGGTAATGAAACAATATTAATTTACTTTTACAAGACTAATATTCTACATAAAAAGGATTTTATTCTCACTTTTAATTTGGGATTATTATTTAAAGAATGTGCTGCATGTAAGGATATGGCTTGTTTGCACTTGATTAACCATCATTTGTGTATCTTTTTAGCTTTCAGGTGTATTTGAAAATTTAAGGGGCTTGCATAAAAAGGTACTGAAATAAACACTGTAAAACCTCTGAATTTTAAGCCTTTCACCAATTGGATTTCCAATCTTAAAGGCAATTAAATCTATTTGTTTAAATATCAAAACCTAAATATTCAAACTAAAAATAACTGCAAATTCATAATCTGCATTGAGAATGTGAGGTAAAATTGTATTGCTAATGTATTGGACCAATTTTTTAAACCTTTTTTATTGCTACTGTCATATATGAAGGTGTTCACATTCTGAACACAAGTGGGGTTATGGATATATCGCTGCCATTAAAGAGCTTCACATATATCAACCTTGCCTAAATGCAGGATCATATAAAACAATAAAATACCAGGGCTGTATTATGTAAATATCGGTAGTTATGTTAGTTACATAATGTAATTATGTAAATGTAATTATGTAAATAACATTAAATACAGAATAAAATGTGCAAATCATTGAATAAGAAGTAATATTTTATTTTTTAACATCACTGCACAAGATTTGTTATTCTGTTTCTTAATAAGGTTTAGATTTTTGTCAGTGACCTTAAGCAACATTTCTTTCTGTTTTTTGCACTTCCAGTTTCTCCTTAATAAATAGCATATTGCTTACCGCAGTCGTACCAGTTACCCATTAGAGCATCAGCAGGGCACACAATCACTATGTGGTACATAGCAGTCACATAACTTGTCCGTCATGGGTTTGCAGGGCTGCACCAGGAAAATTACAATTTCTTTTGACGTTAATAATATTCTTTGCCCTACGCCTATATTGTAAGATGCCTTTTGTTAGAATCCTGTCACATAGCTCTATATAAAAACAAATCGTAATACATTAGTGTAGTATTCACATACATATTATAGTGTTAAAAAAACTATTTTTGATTTACATCATTCAGCTTGCATATTCTCAAACATGGTTGAATTTTGAACAACTGGATTTGAGATCCCGAATGTCTTTCCACACGAAACACTTGAGTTTCCTACTTGAAATGCTTGAGATGTCAGATGGTGTTTACAGTGACCAATACCTACTGCTGTAGGCTGAGAAAGTACATTGTAAAAGCACTGTTCACTGCTGTAGTACTGTATGCAAGGATTGACAACTGTGGTGATTACCAATTATTCTGTGGAATTTTCAAAGGTATTCACATTATGAAAAAATCCAAAATGAAAGAGACCTTTTTAAGTACACTAGCCCTTTCTAGCGAATACTGCACTACTCTTACACTGCACTATATTGTGTACATTTGTTTCACAGTAGTCTTCTAATGTGTTAAATGTATCTAATATGAATATGCCAAACATTTGCCATTTAATATGAATTCAATAGAAAATACTTGTGCAATGTCTGGGGCACATCACCAAATGGGAGTCCATTTTTGATGCAGTACAGCAGCTGGTTTGCTTCTATACTTTGGCACACTTAATCTGCAAAATGCATTCATCAGCATACTTCAAGATTAGACTATCTAGAGAGTAAAGATAATCATTTTGTAATGCTCTTATTGAGCAAGAATACAGCTGCTTGTTTAGCCTCTGAAATGAAATTTGTTGGAAATACATATATAGTGATGCTCATATAACTATGGAGATGAATATACAGTTTAGCCATCCAGATGAAGTACACTTGTGAGTTACTAGAATATATTTGATTGCAAATGAAGAAGTGAACAGTCTATGTGTGTGTAGAAGTTCATCAACACAAAGGCACTGGTAAGAATAAAAATGCCTTGAGTATTAGAATTACTAGCCGATACTAAGGACACAAAGATTGTCTTTAAATAATGTTACTCTTATGTATTTTGCATAAGGAAATAAATTAAAATAGTTTTTTAATGTAAAAGAACAGTGGAATACATACATCTCTATATGAATCATGTACTTCTCATCACTGGTTAAAACCTTTCCCAATTAGTCAATAACTTTTTTTTCCCCCATGGACTTTTCTTCATTGGATTAATCTATTAAAACTTACAGTCTCTGTATATTGGGTGCCTCGTCCATTAACTCAATTTACAGAACTAATACTCTCAAAGTGCTAACCCAAAAGCCTGCATTATTTGCATTAGTTTAGTATGCAAGCTCTGTTTGGTTCAACATTAAAATCAGAAAAGTACTAGGTTTTTAGTTTTCCCTGCAGAAGGCAATGGCAGGTGGAGAGCATTTGTTGGCACTTTCTCTTGACCAAGGAGAACAACTGGGCATTGTACCATATAGGACAAGGAGCACTTTGTCAAAGAAGCTGTTTACAACATTTACAAACTCTGAAATTGTGTTGGGGGATGTTGCCCTAGGTCACATGAACGTAGCATTATAAATGTTACTGAAATTTGAAGTCCAAGTGAAAAGCTCTAAAGTCTCTTATCACAATGACCCTTTTAAAGGCATGTTTTGGTTTTGTTTCCTTTCCTGCTTATTAGATAGCTGTGGCTTTGCTTGCAGTCACTTTTTTAGCTGGCAGTAGTCACAAGAACGGTCAAGCCAAAACGAGAGTATCCAATTTCCTGTTTAATATGTGGTACTATAGTTGCATAAACATTCCTGAGATGCATAATTCATCTCCTCAACATTTATCTGGTGCAATATTATAGCATGATTAGAATGCAACAACATTGCGAAAACTACATTTTAAGAAACGTGTTCTAAAAATGCAAATTTTTTTTAAAAGTATTTTGCAGCTGTTGGTGTGCACATGTGGTTTGCAAGACAATATTGGCACCTTTTATTCAGAGAAAGACCAAATGTTTCCCCCCCGGCAACACTTGATGCTTTTCAACTAGTGTGAGAAGGGATGAGCACGCACTGTACAAGGTGGCCCAGAAATAACACAAAAGCAGTCTCTTCCTCTTTACATCACAAAAGCGGGAAATGGGAAACGCAGTGGGTGCACGGGGTGCAATCAAAATCTGTGCAAATATGCACGTAATCTGTGCACTTGGATTTGCTAATCATTTGTTACCTTTACCCAGTTATGTACTCACTGAATTTTTAACGTCTGTGAATCAGTGCTCCACTCCAAGACACTGTGGAGCCAGCTGCTTTAAAAGGTGAACATTTAAGGTGTGTCTGGCCTTACTCATTCTCTTGCCTGCTATACACAAATTGTAGCTGCGAGCTGGCAATTCCAAATGAGGTGCGAATAAAAGAAAGTACATTAGATTTTTTAAAACACCTTCATTTTAGCTATTTAGCAATCTACAATGCCAAATTACTTTAGACGGAAAGAGTAAAATAAGTGACCAAATCAGTGTAAACCCAATTAGAACTGTGTGCAGACACAATGTATGGAAATACCATGTGCTTGTGGTATTTGTTTTATTGAACTTCAAATAAAGATTGCCAATAAGTAAATGAGCTGGGACCATAATGGTCCTTTTCAAAAGGGGGAAAAAAAATCTAAAGGTCAGTCAGCTAATTGTCATTTTAAAGGACAATTAATCATTGTTTAACTTTTTAATATTGGTTTAACCTCCGACTGCCTTGAAGGCCCAGGAAGAACCAGCAGACAGTATCAACCTGAGCCAGAAGGTGCCCATCGTCCCACTAGAGGGAGAGGCAGCGGAGAAAGAGAAGTCCCTGCCTGACTGGAGTGAGAAAGTTGCCCACGGTATCCTGTCCGGTAAGGCTTGCCGCTGTACTGTGCTACTGTTGTTTAAGTCAGGGTAGATTTGAACAGGCAACAGTGTCTGGTTCCACACTTTCTTCTCTCAAGTCATGCTTCTCATAAACCCCACTGTTTCACACCAGCCCACTATATTCCTACTATGTGCCCAATGTTGTCGTTTTACATGTTGCAAATACATGGAGTAAAAAATGACTGTGTTCATTATCTTCCTACCTGTGCATTTTATCATGTTGCATGTTGCATTTCATTTACTTTTGGCTAAGCAAAATCTCATCAAGTATAATTTTAGAAGATGTTGGCCAGCTGTAGAAGCATTTATAGTTCAAAGCTTCCACCTGTGTATGAACAGCGGTCGCCCACTTTTGTATCTTTAAATGTAATCCTAAGGCAAGTTACCTTCAGAAGGCAAGGCGTTTTAGGGGAGAATCAGATTGTGATGATGACATTTTGAACTCAAAAGAAGTGCATTTTGCAAATCAAATTGTGGGTATAGAAAGTCACCACCCCCTTTCAAAATGTGTACCTTTTGTTATATGACACTGAAAATAAAAACAAATTTCCATTTTTATTTACATACGGTAACCCACATTAGCCAAGTGAAAATAAAATTCTAAAACATTCTGAAAATGAATTGATATTACAACAGTAAAATACCTTATTTGGATAAGTGAACACCCCCTCTACAATTGTATTTGTAAACTTGCTCAGATATAATCAATCACCTTACAGATCACACAACAAACTAACTGGCTCCCACCTGTGATCAATTGTGGTGATTTTGATTTAGTTCGGAATAAAAGCAGCTGTTTCTAGAAGATTCAATTGCTTGGAAGTGTATTTCAAAGCAAAGACTTCACTATGGGCAGAAAGGTGCTTTCAAAAGAACTTTGAGATAAAGTTGTGGAAAGGCACAAGTCAGGAGATGGGTAAAAAAAGATTTCAAAGGCTTTAAGTATCCCATGGAGCACAGTCATGACCATCATTATGAAGTGGAAGGCATATGGCACCACCCAGACCTTGCCTAGAGCAGGCCGTCCCTCCAAACTGGATAACTGAGCAAGAAAGAGACTGATCAGAGAGGCTACCAGGAGACCAATGGCAACTTTGAAGGAGCTATAGGCCTTTATGGCAAAGACTGGCCATTGTGTGCATGTGACAACAATATCACAAGCGTTCCACAAATCTGGCCTGCATGGGAGGGTGGCAAGAAAAAAGCCACTCCTTAAAAAAAGCCACATCAAGTCTGGTTTATGTTTAGGTAAAAAGCACCTTAAAGATTCTGTGACCAAGTGGCAAAAAGTGCTCTAGTCAGACGACGCCAAAATCAAACTCTTTGGCCGGAATGCAAAACAGTACATCTTACCATCCAAAGAATACCATTCCTAAAGTGAAGCACAGTGGTGGCAGCATCCTGTTGTGGGGGTGTTTCTCTTCAGCTGGGACTGGGGCACTTGTTAGGATTGAAGGGAAGATGGGTGGTGCAAATTACAGGCAAATTCTTGAAGAAAACCTGCAGCCCTCAGCCAGGAAGTTGAAAATGGGAAGATGGTTCTCCTTTCAAAGACAATGACCCAAAGCACACCGCCAAAGCAATCGTACAGTGGCTGAAGGACAGGAAAGTCAATGTCCTTGAGTGACCTACTCAGAGCCCCGACCAAGTCATTCTGAAGATTTTTGATGGAATTTAGAAGAGGACAGTCCATCAACTGTCACCATGCAGTTTGACTGAGCTTGAACACTTCTGTAAGGAGAAAGGGCAAATATTCCTCCCTCTAGGTGTGCAAAGTTGTTAGAGATATATCTCAAGGCTGTAATTCATGCATAATGTGCTTCCACCAAGTGTTAGCTCAGGGGGGTTATCCAACTCAATTATTCTACTTTTTTTTCCAGATTTTTTCCTTTTTTTTCACTTGGATGTTGCAAGGTACAATTTGTAAATAAAACTGGAAAAAGTCTGATTTTATTTGTCTTCTTTTTGGGCTTTAGGGCAACAAAAGGTGAACATTTTGAAAGGGGGTGGTGACTTTCTATACCCACTGTATATACTGTTACCAAGGCCTTTTTCTGTATAGGAGCATCCTGGCTCAGCTGGGGCCTTGTCAAAGGGGCAGAGTACACAGGAAAGGCCATTCACAAAGGAGCCTCCAAACTGAGAGAACACATAAACCCAGAGGACAAGCCAACCCAGGTCAGCCCTACTGTGGCTAAGGGGCTGCATGTTGCCAAGCAGGCAACCGGTGGAGCAGTCAAAGTCAGCCAGTTTCTGGGTAAGACTTGTTTTCTGATGGGTATAATGATAAAATAATGATTACAATTCCTGGTAGGACTTGGTATGATCACAAGCTGGTTAAGGTTATGTCCCCATGTCAACAGTGAACAAGGAAGCTTGATTATTTAACAGATTTTAGATTTTGGAGTCTGGCTTTGTGTACTGTAATTCTGCCGTGGATGTTGTGTTTAATTGTAACTGTCAGTTGGTGGTACTTATGACCGTTTTTCATTTCCTTTTTTTTAGACATTCCACATTGAGGAAGGTATAGGCCACAGTGCATACAGTGCTGCTTGTAAGAATGTGAACCCTTCATTTTTCATGTCTTTGAAAAATTATCTTAAAAACATATTTTATCTGAGCTCTAATATTTAATGAAGATAACCTACATAACAGACATACATATAGGAACAAGTAATAGGTTTATTCCATGCTGAAAAAAAGAAGAAAGAAAACGCATTTCGGGCTCCATGGCCGAAACGTTGCGTTTTCTTTCTTTCTTCTTCAGGCTCCACAGCCGAAACATTGTGTTTTCTTTTTTTCAGCATGGAATAAACCTATTACTTGTTCCTTTGCAGCGTACGCATGATGACGCAGCTCCCCACCTGAACATATATATAGTTTCATTATTTATTAAATAAACCATGATTCAATTCAATTAGTGGTGGCACATCCTTTAGCTGCTGTGACAGCAACCAGACATGTTCTAAAGTTACTAATCAGTCTGTTACATCTGCTTTGGGGAATTTTTGACCATTCTTCCTTACAAAACTGCTTTAACTACTCTAGGTTTGTTGGCTGGAGCAGCCCACTTCAGGTCTATCAGTTGAGATCTGAACTTTTACTTGGCCATTCAAAAACATAAAACTTCTTCCGCTTAATCCATTCTTTGGTAGATTTGCTGGAAGGTTTTGTGTGATTGTCATGCTGAAGGACCCTTTTTTGGCTCAACATCAGCTCATGCACAGAGGGTCTGCTGTTCTCCTCCAGAATATTTTGGTATGATTCTGAAATTCATAGTTCTCTCAATGATGGTGAGTTGTCCAGGTCCATGGGCAGAAAAGCAGCTCCAAACCATGACACCCCCCCCACCATGCTTGACAGTGGGGATATGGTTATTTTGGTGGTAGGTTTTCACCAAATATGGCATTTGTTGTTGTCAAAAATATCAAAATCATACTCAATTTCAGACTCATACGTCCATTCTTACAGAACATTCTTCTAAAAATCTACAAGATCATCCAGATATCAAATTGTTGAGGTATGAACAAGGACATCAGCTGCAACAGGAGAGGCCCGGAGATCTTTGGATGTGGTCCTAGGGTTCTTTTGGATATCCTGTGTGAGTTTTCTTGTTGCTCTGTGGAATAATTTAAAGGACATCCACATCTAGGTATGGCCACTGTAGTCTTGGATTTTCTCCATTTGTACACGTTTTGCTATGGTTTTATAAACTGCTTACAACACTATTCCTGAGGTCATATGAGGTCTCTTTAGATTGGGGCACTGTGTATTACACTAACCTGTATCGGTAAGACCAAATTGATTTGGTGTCTTACCTTTAAATAGTAGAGGGACTTCCAGACTTTGTCCTGGTGATTGGCTCTTTGATTGGTTAACCTGGTACCCAATTAATTTAGCACCGAGTTATACTTCATTGAATGATCTAATGAACTTTGTGGTTCACTTAACTTTGTATATGCACTAATTCTTTTTCATCTATTTCTTTTTTTTATTACATGAATCCATTCCCCTAAACAAAACATAATTTGTTGATGTAAACCCTTTCCTTTAAAAAAGTAAGGACTTGTTTTGATTAAACAAGAATTTCGTAGTAAAAATGTTACATTTAAAGAGTAGGGGTTCACAAACCTTCAAGCAGCACTGTATGTGCTCACTTTTGTCATTTTTGACATGGAAAAAAATGAAAACCTTTTTTGAATGACAGTCATTTGTTTTTTACTTTGAACATTATAGGATGTAGCCATCCAAGCTCAGTTGAAATGCATTCTTGTTTATTTGTGAGTTGAGTAAGCAGAGAAGTGAGGCATTAGGAAGATGATGCAGCTGCACTTGTTATAATGTTATAATTTAAGAGTTTTTAATTGCAAATCACATTTAAATGATGACTTCTGTTTAGTGATGGTAGCTCAGATGACGTTTGCCATTTCAGAAACGAACTGTTTAACAGTGGTTAACTTTCACAAGTTTGACAGAGCTGAGATGACAGCACAGGCACAATTGTTTGTCTGCTTCATGCCGTTTTCTATGCTTAAGTGGACGGAGTCTGTACTCTGGCCAGCTGTGTGGGCAAGGAGCTGGCACCTCACGTGAAGAAACATGGCAGCAAGCTGATCCCCGAGTCCTTGAAGAAAGACAAAGAGGGCAAGTCCAACATAGACGGGGCTATGGTGGTGGCAGCCAGTGGAATACAAGGTAGGCCTTAAGGGTACGGCTTAAATAAGGGACTTGGTCTTTTTCACTCACAGAAACTGGAAGATTCTTACAGGGCAGTTCTTATTTCATTGCATACCTTGATACAGAGGGTGTATTGGCAGATTTTAATTTTGGTTTCTTTTTATGCTGAATTCCTACTGTAGGATTTGCAACAGTTTGGACTGGCTTAGAAGTAGCAGCAAAGGATATAGCCAAAAATGTGGCATCGGAGACCGTGCACACTGTGAAACACAAGTAAGTGGCACTTGGGTACTTTGTCATGCAGAGCTGGTGAATTCATTTTCAGTGTATTATAGCCATTACTCACCTAACATCCTGTGTTAAGACTGATCCTAAAGATTGCAATATAAACCTACATATACTAATATAGCACTGAATACGTACAAATTTAAGGGTGTAAAAATAGTAAGATTTCATTAATTTGGCTATATAGGATCTGAAAGTTTGGGTAGTATTTCTTGTATATGATCCATATACTTTTCTTATGCATAGACCATTCAAAAACATTTTATGCTCCGGTCACTTTCTAATTCAGCAACGTCTGAAAATGTCATTAATCAATATTTAACCACCAATCTGAAACAATTTTTGATTCCGTACTCTTAAAGAAAAAACAATTCACACTGTGAAAACAAAAATAAATATTGACTAAATAATAAGCCCATCAAGTTCTGAAGATAACCACAAATTGATTAATATATACTGCATATGTTGGTATCGACTACTCCATTTGGCGTATGCATTTTTTCTGTACTTTCCAGACACGGCACTGGTACACTTTTCTAATTATATGAGGTCACATCCTGTGTGCAGAGTATCAGAGTACAATAAGATTAAACTACTTATTATATACAGGTACCCGTTAGTGATGAAGATGAACTTACGACAATCTTGGCCTTTTTGCTTTATTTTGTATGTGGGGTAGGGTTGTGCAGTGCACTTTTAATGGTTTTGTTCTTCAAATTAAAAGAAAGTCAGCACTTCTAGGCACACTGAATTGAGTTCTGTTTCACTGACTGCATTATGAAGTCACTATTGTAAATTTTGCTTCTTCTTTCTTATTTCAGATACAGGGGTCTACAAAGCAACTTGTCCATGTAGATGCATTTGCATTGCCAAAAACTAAAAATAAAAATTAATTACCTCCTAGTAACTGTCACTTGCATGCCTTCTTAATTTCAGACTTGCATGACTTCCATTAAGAAATTTACTACTACTTTGAAAAATGACTTGCTTTATGTGAATTTGATGCAACTTCAAGCTTGTCCCATAATGAACAAATCAGATATTTACCCTACAGCAATTATGAACTCTGTTCTTAATAGTTCAATTGTTTATTTCATACTGATTTTGTTTTACAGCATGAGCATCATATTCAATTAATTTTAAAATTATTTAATCTAGTTAGTTAGCTGGGGTTAAACTAAAGACTGAATGTATCATGCAAGACATGCACATGAGAAATAGTTTGTGAACCCTTAGGAATTATATGGATTTCTGCATGAATGGCTCCTAAAATGTGATCTGATCTTCATTTAAGTCATAATAATAAATACAACTTTATTGAAGAAATGGTTTAAACTATCAAGGTCATTAATGGAAAAAGTATGTGAACCCTTATATTTAATAACTAGTGGAACCACCTTTATTGGCAATAACCTCAACCAAATGCTTTCTGTAGCTACTGATCAGACCTGCGCAGAGGTTAGGAGGTATTTTGACCCAATCCTGTATACAAAACTGTTTCAGTTCATGTATATTTTTGGGATGTCTTACTTGAACTGCCTGCTTCAGATCACACCACAGCAATTCAAAGGGATTGAGGTTGTGACTCCGACTTGGCCATTTAAAATATGGAATTTCTTCTGTTTGAGCCACTCCTTTGTTGATTTACTCCTATGGTTTGGATCATTGTGATGTTGCATGACCAAACTCCTTTTGAGTTTTAGATCACAGATAGACACCCTGACATTCTGCTGTAGAATTTCCTGATACTACTTGGAATTCATTGGTCCCTCAATGATTGCAAGCCATCCAGGCCCTGAGGCAGCAAAGCAGCCCCACACCATTATACTCCCTCCACCATGCTTCACAATTGGGATGAGGTTTTGGTGTTGGTATGCAGTGTTTTGTTTTCTCCAAACATAACGCTCTGTACATTTACCAAAAAGTTAAACTTTTCTCTCATCTGTTCACAGAACATTGTTCCAGTAGTGCTGTGGAACATCCAGGTGGTCTTTAGCAAACTTGAGACAGGCAGCAACGTTTTTTTTTGGAGAGAAGTGGTAATCTCCCATGAACACCACTCTTGTTCTGTTTTTTTCTTATGGTAGACTCATTAACAGATGTTATCAAGTGCAAGAGTTGCCTGCTGATCCTTAGCTGTCACCCTAGGGTTCTTTGTCACCTGTTTGAGGATTCTACAGTGTGCTCTTGCACCAATCTTTGTAGGACTCCCACTCCTAGGGAGAGTAGCAACGGTGCTGAATTTCTTCAATTTGTAAACTATCTGCCTGACCGTGGACTGATGGAGGCCCAAGTCTTTAGAAATACTTTTGTAACCCTTTCCAGTCTTCTGACCTTAAACAACTATTTTTCTGAGGTCCTCCAAAATCTGTTTTGATCAGGCCATATTGCACTTCAACAGAATTCTGTTGTGAAGAGCAGGTAACCAAAATTGTGTGATTTCTGATACGGCAGTGCTGGTCAAACCCACATCTGAATTGATTGGAATACCTGACTCCAATTACCCTCTTTTCAAGATGTCATTATCCCAGAGGTTCACGTACATTTTCCATCAATGACCTTGATTATTTAAACCATTTGATCAATAAAGATATGGCAATGTAAAATGTTCACAACAGTGTTGTTTGATAAAAAATACTTAATGTCTTTATTTATTATTATGACTTAAATGAAGATCAGATCACATTTAAGGAGCCATTCATGTAGAAATCCAAATAATTCCAAAGGGTTCACAAACTTTTTCTCACAACTGTATGTACTGTATTAAAGGGCTGCTGAGAAATTAGCATTTCAGCTTCTCGCAGTCGTTGCATTTGCTAGTATTTGTAAATGTTCTGTACCAGAAGGAACCCTTAAACTTTTGGGGATCATGCAGATTAAAAAAAATATATATTACTACTTAATTGCAAAATAAATGTACTGAATTGTAGCCATCTTGCAATTCTTTGAATCACATTTGGGTTTGTGTTCTCCTTACAACTGTATGACAAAGGAATTGTTTGTTTTGTGCAAAAACAGGAGTTCTGGTGAAGGTGAAAATTGCATTTTAACGATGTCAAAACCTGCATGTTGCATTCTTCCTGGGGACGGTGAAAGCCAATTCAGCTGACATGTTCCATCTCCATCGGCCTTAGCTGTCCTTACATCCATCTTAGTAATGGACTTTGGCATGTGGCTGCTTTTATTCCCCCCTCGCTGCTTGCTCTTCCCCTTTCTCACCTTCACACAGTGTCCCTGATTATTGTTGATTAAGGTACGGCGCAGCTGCTGGCCAGGCCACAGACCACGCCGTGAACTCTGCCATCAACATGGGAGTCACCGCGTTCAACATAGACAATCTGGGCATCAAGGCAGTGGTGAAGAAAACGGGCAAGGAAACTGCCCACGCCATCCTGGAGGACTACAAGATTAAGGAAAAACAGGACAAGAAGGAAGAGAAGTAACAGCCCTCAGATCCCTGCTTTCTGTCCCTTAGAGCCTTAATATTTATCAAAGTATTTACATTCTTAATTTATATTCAAGAAGCAAACAAATTACCAACTATAAGCTGAAGGTTTACAATATATGAAATTAAAGAGGTAGCACTTTAAGACAACTTGTCACACTGTAAGAAAACAAGATGACAAACCTGTGGTAAAGGTGGGGTTGCACTGTCACAGCCTTTAGTTATATACAATGGTCTAGTTTGGACTAGGCTTCAAACCAGAATTATACATCTCTGTTCTTTCCCCTAGCTACCAGCAAATATTTTATAGATTTACATTTGTGGTTTATGTTTCAAAACTATTGTAAATTGTTTTCACAAACGTAGTCGACTTAGGCCACCAAATAAGTCTGGAAAAATATACTCTGTTGTGTAACAGGTGGCTAATCCAATTCTACAACTAGTTTACATGAAGAATACAAATCAAAGTTTAGTCAAAATGCTACCTTTTTGATGGTGACATAAGCGAGAGCTCTACTGTTGTTGTTGTTGAATACGTTTGCTTTGATAAGTGACTTAGCGTTTCTTCATTAATATGCTGTTTTTAGATTGTTCTAATCAGCTTTAAAATTGCAAATATCTATTTTTGTTTGCCAAGAACAAGGAAAAACTCTGGTCTGACTATTACAACCACCTCATGCCATGTGATACTTAAGACCATTCCACAATAATGCCTTTAAGAGTGTTCTAAAAAGTGGCTTTTTAATGGCATTGTGAAACTATATTCACTGTACAAAGCATTAACCATGAAAGAAGGTAAAGAATACACCAACCAATGAACAAAATTAATGTTAAAAAAGAACTGCATTTTGCATTTTTACTACCAAAAATATATATTTAGGGAACAAACAATACCATTACATGTATTTAGAGACATTGGACATGCTGTGTTTTCTTGGTTGTATATTCAGCTGAGGAGGGCTGTTTTCAAAGCCTAAAGGTTTAGGAGCTCACTGCCACATTTCGCAGCTGCTATTCTTTCCAGACGAGACTGGGCCTGTAAAGGAAAGATGTTTAATTCAGCAATTGTTTTTAACTATTTTTACACTGTACCAAAGATGGCTAACTTGGTAGACTGGCAAACATGCTATTTTTCACATTTTTTGGTTGCTACTGATTGTTATAATACAGTCCACCACTAAGCTCATTCAGAATCACTGAACAATTCTTATTCATCTTTGTAAAATGGAACTACTCACTCGTCTATAAAGAAGTCTATGTAAAGATCTACTGTCACTTCTTTTTCATAAGAAGTAATAAATAGCAATGAATTATATTCCCTGTGCGTGACTGGTCTGTCTTTGTGCTTTTATTATTAATGTTCATTTGCAAATAGACCATGCCCCCCTCATAGAGCTTTGCTAAATTGCATCTGTCCTATGGTCAACATTGTGGCAAGTCAAAACTAAATTTGTCTTAAATTCAATTCAATCAATTAGGACTAAGGTTGTAATTCACTGGTACCAGTTCATGCTGCCACTACCTGATTCAGTCATCTGGTAATTGATCTATACTGTAGAAACCTAAAGAAAAGAGGCATTGAAGTATATCTTAATAATTAGCATTTAGATTTCCCTGGATTTTATAAAACACTTCTAAAAACCGTGGAAGGCTTACTTCCCACCATCTGCAGCTTGGCTGTGTTTCTTTATGGCAACTGTGAACAAGGTATTAACAATTTTCAAACACGGTTACTTTATTCCAAGACAGGACTTCAGGGTACAGTTACAAGCACCATGATTTGTGATCTGAATAATTAAACCTCAAGCACTCTGAAAACAATTTTTGGAGTGTTCCCCTTTCTATCATGCACTTTCATTTCAAATCCCTTTGCAAGTTTAATTTCTAGGTTCAGACGTTTGATGGAAAGTGGCGGTTCTTATTACCTGATTGAATGACTTGTTAAGGTGGTTCAAGGCTAGATTTTGTTTTAGCATCTTATTCTGGTATTCTGTAAGTTTTTGAGTCTCCTTTGTGAGTTTTTCTGAAATGAGAGATAAAATAAGAATTAAAACCATTTCAACTTCACAGTGTGTTTAAAAAGCATAACATGTAATCCAAGGAAATGTGTAATCTATTGATGCTTATAGCATGGGGTTTGTAACAGAAGTGAGAAACCGATTTAAATGCCCAATTATGTTCTACCACTGTACACTTAGAATACACTAGTATTGACAAAATGATCAATTCTTAGCACTGGTTTGTGTGTAAAAGCACCATGTTTCCTGGATTAGTGTCCTATCCAATGTTGTAATCTAGCCTTGTGCACTGAACAATTGAGGAAAAATATCTGAACTGTCAGTCCTGGTCATCCTATCTTTCTGTTGATGGCACTGTATTTGAATTTCAATTTAATTGAAGAACTTGAGGGTGATATTTGATCCAGGCTTAACATTGGACCTACATGGGCAAAACATTGTAAAAACATCATTATTCCATCTCAGAAACAATGCCAGACTATGTCCTGTGTTGTTTCTGACTGCTGCCGAAAAGCTAGTTAACATTTTCATCTTCTCTCGAATTGATTAATGTTTAATAGCACCCTACTGGCAGAGGTATCTAAATCCACACTTAAACTTTAGTATGCTCACAATGTGGTAGCCAGAATCTTGACCAGGTCTTGTGCAAGTGATTACATTACCCCTGTCCTGGAGGTCTTGCACTGGCTTCCTATACTTATAAGGCTCCAAGTCGCTTGGCACCTCAGTATCTGTCTGGCTCTTTTCCTACTCTCCACTTTGGAATCTTGGTTCATCTGACTCTAGTCTCCTGTCAGTCTCTCATGCCCATCTACACTCTATGGCTGACGAACCTTCTCTCGCTTTGGTATTCTATACGCAAGATATCAGAGAATCACCTTCCCTGAGTACTTTCGAATCCAGACTCAAAATCTTATCATTAAGAAAGGCTTTTACTTTCATTGATGTCTGTCTGCCTCTTTGCATCTGCTATTACATTATAAACTCCTCTGTTTTTTTGTGCTAATTTCATATCCTACCTTTGTTGTTGTTTTCATTTGTTTTACTTTTCTATAAATCGCTTTGAGAAGTTGCTTTTAAAGACACTATATAAAATAAAGTTTATATTACTACCCATTGTTCTATGACCATCAATTTGGGTAAATACATTGAAAAGGATTGAACGCAGACATGTATACATCATATACCGCATGCATGTTTATATTATTGAAAGAAAATTAATTAGCGCTCAACGTATAACAATGGCTCAGAGGAACAGGTAAATCTAAAAAAATCTAGTTTTGCCTTTTGCGTTTATAACGCCAAAATATTTAATAGAAATCTTAATTAGAACAGAAGAGTTCTGTTTCCTACAGGGTTGGGATTGGACGAAAAGTCAATAAGCATTCATACCCATAATTTATATTGTATACAAAGTGTATGGCGAAAATGTATGTCCAGGCATTTTCAGAAATAAACTTATTCCTGGGGAGGATCGTGGAAACGTTTATCCTGGTTCCATAAAGCGCAAGGCAAAACAACACTAATGGACGGACGCCAGTCCTCGGATCTCGCCTGAATCTCATTTTCATGACCGAAAAAGGGGTTGTTATGCATTTATTGCCTTACTGCACCATCTAGCGAGAGACTGGAGTTGCTTCAGAATAATCATGAACGTGTACCGTATGACTTTACTAAGCGATCAAAACATTCAACTACTACAGCATTTAATGTAATTTAATGAATGTAATTTAATACATTTAATTTAAAATCGATAAATCAAATAGGGCCAATTATTAAAAGGTGTAGATATAAAACGATACCAAAATGCATTAGGTAACTAGACAAAGTATCATTCGTTCAAAAATGGGAAAGGTCATTAAGATTGCTCACAACGGATGGTCTCTCGTACTCAGAGCGTTTATTTAGCGTTAAATCCCCGTTTTTGCATGATACTATTACTATACTAACAGTGAAGGCAAATAATTAGGCCTAATCTATGAAAGTACTTAACAGGATATTATAAACTACCCATTAGTTCCAGAAGACCAGTATATTCAATCTTCGTTTCCACCGAAATCGCATCCATTTTCCAATCTACAGTTTGAAGCAGGCGACGGGGTCAATTTTGAAGCCAAATGACTCTTTAAAAGAAGTAAAACTGCTCTACGAGAATCCTTACAGCTCCACTACAGAAGTCCGCGGTAATTTTCAAAGCGCAGACTCAGCCGGTCATGTGCCGGAAGAGCAGATCTCCTTGGAAACGACTTGTTTGCAAACGACTTCAACAAAACCCTGGTTTCTGCTGTTCATGTGTCTGAAAATGGAGGAGTTTGAGTTTGTTAACTACGATGCTCCTCGATTACGGTTTGAACTTGACCAAGAGAAGCAGATGAAGTGAGTTGCTTTTCCAGAGCTCGTTGCATTCAGATGTAAATTAAAATTAAGACGAGCACTTCGGGTATCGTTTCATTGCAAACTCACCGTTGAGAGTTTTTCGTCCATCACTTCTGAGTGTTCGCAAAATGCCATGTCCTTTTCAGATTACAGATTAAATGATGCAAAACTGTATTTTCCTGGACGTAACTGTTGTGTATAACCAATTAAATAAATAGGCAAGGAATAAATTAAAAAAAGAGACTACAAATCCAAATAGAGTTCAGATGGACATGATGGATTTCTCGGGCACTGTAGTGAAGTTTCAGTTATGACATTCTCTGTGTAAAACTCGGTAGTGATCGATCATCACTTACAGCCCTGATCCTGAATGAATGATCGAATTGTTTTAGTCGAAGCTACGGTTTACCCAGAAAACTTAAAAACGCAGCTATAATATTATTTAAACACGACAGCGCAAATAACCACCATATTCAAAGTAACCCACTGTAATTTCCTTGAATTTTTGGAATTCAGGGAAATGCTAGAAGACTCAGTTTCTGAACTTAGCACTACCGTGATGAACTTGGAGAAGAGACTGGCCTGTGTAGAAGACGAAGGTAATTTTCTGGATGATTTCCTCGTTAACAGACTTTTTTTTTGTAATTCTTCACTGTGCAAAATCATAGTTAATCGTTCATCATTCATAAACTGAATAAGTAAAATCTTATAGTGCATCAAGTAAGACCGAACATTTACACAGATAAATAAAGAAGCAGAAGGTATTAAACAGCTTGGATCATGCTGGGTTTTATTTTAGTATCAGTGCCACAATGCCACCCCTGTCTCAATAATGAAACACCCTTTGTTCCTTGACACTGTATACATTTACACATTTCCTCCTGCATCAACACTTTTTTTTAATAAGCCATTCCATTTAAAGTTGGCAGGTGGGGTGATAATTAAGTGATGTGGAAAGAGATTTGTTTTTGGACAGTGGACTTTAGAAATGAACTGCAGACTTGTAAATGTCCAAAATTAAAATTTTAACCTGGTAATATGACGCCTACTCAATAAATTATGCAAAATAAAGCAAGCCTTGCAAAGGAGACAATATGAGACATTATGTGAGGAAAGATGAATACTTCATTTAATATGCATATTAGTAAATATACTGTACGCAGAGTCTCATAACTACTTCAATATTACTGTTTGTAAAAAGGAAGTAAAGGGTAGCAAACATGCAATGAAACTGAGCTAAATGTTAAGTGCATCTCACCAGACCATGTTTCAAAGTTTGTTCATGTCGGTTTATTGATACTGCCCTCACTTTAAGCTTAACTAACACAAATTTACACATAGTGTACCTGTAAAGCTGACTGAGAGTGGTCCAAGAGGTGGGATACTATTGTTATCCACTCATACCCTGAGGAATCTGTCATAGCATGTTTCTGCAGGGAACTGTTACTGAGATGTTTGAGTTAATTGAGCAACTTTCACAAACTAAAAATAACAAATGTAAATTACAAAGCTAAATACATTGAACATGTAAAAGACTATAAAAAAGTAACTCATCTTTCAAACTTTGAAACATAGTCTCGCTCACATAAGGACCTCATTTTAAATCTGCGCTGAAGGATAGAACAAGATAGATATCAGGTGAATTGCTCATGGTAACCTGACACGCGTCTCCGGAAACAGCGGTTCCTAACCTTTACAAGTGTGCAGACATCTTTTCAATTGCCAAAATATTTGCAAGCATTCGCAATGTACATGCCTTAAATTAGGTTAAATTCATATTCATCATCGCAACAAAATACATCTGTGAAGCATTGCAGTGCCTGTGTGTTAACATACATAGAGTGTTCCAAGTTAACGTATTGAGATGGTGGGTTTCTCTGACTTCATAAATAGAATGGCATGAGCTGTAGCTGAAAATCTGGTTCCAGATCCCATTTTCCTTTTCACTGACCCCTCCGCCTGTGTAGCTTCCTGGACCACCATACACCATACTGTAGGTTAGAAACTGCTGCTGCTCTAGATAAATCGGAAAAATCCCTATAACTTTTTTTTTTTTGCTTTAACCCTTACATCCAGGAAATGAGTGGAAAACCAGACATGACACGCAGCAAGAGCTAAACAGGCAGCTCGAAAGGCAAATTGCTCTTCTGCAAGAGAAGCTGGAAGAGATACGGGCTAATCCTGTCGGTGAGGAACAGACCGTTTTGTGGACTGGTCCACAAGGGCGGACCGGTGGCTCTGTGGCTCTGTGGCTAAGGATCTGCGCCTGTGACTGGAAGGTTGCCGGTTCAAATCTTGCGGCCTTAACCCTAACTGCTCCAGGGGCACGGTACAATGGCAGACCCTGCGCTCTGGCCCCAAGCTTCTCTGTCTGTGTGTCTGTGTCTCCATGGAGAAAAGCTGGGGTATGCGAAAAGACGAATTCCTAATGCAAGAAATTGTATAGGGCTAATAAAGAAACATTGCAGCTATAAAGTACTCGAGGGCCAGCTGGCACTCTCCAGGGGGCAGTTCTTCAGGGGACAGTTCTTCCTTAGCAGTGTTGTTTCACGACCCTATTGTCTCACTCATGTGGACAAACAAAGAAAGGTGACATGAATAATTTGATACCTGTTCACACCCTCTGTTGTAGGGCACTGATGATTGATGTTGAGTGGTCTACACTATGTAATGGATACAGATTTTTGTCATCCTTGTTTTAACCAAAAAAAAGCAAGAGGCTTAGGGGAGTGTTAAGAAGGAGGAAGTACAAAAACAGTGTAGATGAAGAGCACAAAGACAGCAAGGAATAGGTTATAATTTGTTGAAACGTATTCTAAGTTGCTGAAAGAATAAGGGAACTTCCATTGCTTTGGTCACTGAACGCAGAAAGGACACACAAAGGAGCTAAGAGATCTAAATTTTACAGAACTCTTAGTTTTAAATACAATTTTGTCCAATTTTGAATGATTGCATTGCATTTCTCAACTTAAACAGCTATTGGAAGTGTAATAGCAGTGGTTTATGATAACACTCATTAACATGGGAGCAACAAGAATCAGACTGATACACTGGTACTTCAGCACCCACGATGAAATGAGCCCCATTGTCCCAGGTAAATAAAGCCAGATAATAAAGGCTGGTATGGATGTTTGTTATATAATATAGCCAGCAGTCATATCACTCTGCAACTCACAGTTGGCAACTCACTAAAGCTCAGCAGGTGTGAGCCTGGTCAGTACCTGGATGGGAGACCTCCTGGGAAAAACTAAGGTTGCTGCTGAAAGAGGTGTTAGTGGGGCCAGCAGGGGGCGCTCACCCTGCGGTCCATGTGGGTCCTAATCCTCCAGTATAGTGACAGGGACACTATACTGAAAACAGGCGCCGTCCTTCGGATGAGACATACTGTAAAACCGAGGTCCTGACTCTCTGTGGTCATTAAAAATCCCAGTGCGTTTCTCGAAAAGAGTAGGGGTGTAACCCCGGCGTCCTGGCCAAATTTCCCATTGGCCCTTACCAATTATGGCCTCCTAATAGTCCCCATCTTGAGTTGACTTCATTACTCTGCTCTCCTCCTCACTGATAGCTGATGTGTGGTGAGCATATCATATGGTTTCCATAGCATCATCCAGGTGGATGCTGCACATTGGTGGTTGTAGAGGGGAGTCCCCATTACCTGTTAAGTGCTTTGAGTGGAGTGTCCAGAAAAGTGCTATATAAGTGTAAGCAATTATTATTAAAGAGAGTTGCTGGCTCTAGGTGGGATTTTCTTTGCCTTCCGTACACCACTGTATGCCTTTGTAAGTCATCAGAGAACTGGGTTTGACTGTATTGCGTGTATTACCCCATCATGAAAAGATAACCAGACAGAGGAGTGCTCCCCAAATGTCTCACAGAGAAAATGAAATTGCAAAGACAATTGGCAATATTGAAGGAGAAATAGAACACTTGCTCTCATTTTGTGATTTGATTTCCTAAATTAATCTCAAATTATTTTTTCTACAGACAGGTTTTCCTCCATACGAACATACGATGAGATGCCCTTGGTGAGTATGATATTTTAAGTTGTAATACTGCAGTTCATATAGAGACTCTTTCTTCTAAAGTGTTTTTATATGTTAGAAAATAACTTATTCTGCTGTGTAAGCAGATGTAATAAATTCAGTGGTTTCGGTTATTCCTTCACCAGGAGAACAAGATACATAATTCTATTGAATAAATTGTGAAAAAGAATAAAGAAATAAGTAGTGGGATATATATTTTTTGTTTTCTTTGCATCAGTAAGTCAGACATCATTTCAAACAAAAGTTCAGTTGCTCTTATGAAAGAGAAGAAAGAAATCAAAATGCACAGTACCTGTTGGTACATAAACGTTTATAACAAAACCAGAATGAGCATTTAAAGAGCTCTCACCTTAACTTTAGTACATCTTGATTTAAGTATCTAAGCATTTCAGCTGTATGGAAAAGGAAAAGCATTCTGCAAGCAAAACTCTTTCAGTATATAAATCTAATCAGCAGGGAAGATGATTTGGAAACTCGATAGGAATGTTCTGCAACAGGAGAGTATCCATATAAGACTATCTATATAAGACTTTTGCTTTTAATTTACAAGATATTTGGAATAGAGACAGTGTCCCTTAGAAAACCTAAGAAAGGAAACTGTATGTGACACGGTTGAGAATGCTCTGATAGGTATGTGAGACGATCAAGATAGACAAAGTGAGTAGCGTTTACATCATCAGGCAGTGGAAAGTACAGGAGTGAAGACTCTTCTTAATAATTCATAATTTTATAACAATTTCTTACATTTATATAGCGCTTTACTGGACACTCCACTCAAAGCGCTTTACAGGTAATGGGGACTCCCGTCCACCACCACCAATGTGTAGCACCCACCTGGATGATGCGACGGCAGCCATAGTGCGCCAGTATGCTCACTACACACCAGGTATCATTTTTGAAGTGAACAGAGTGATGAAACCAATTCATAGATGGGGATTATTAGGAGGCCATAATTGCTAAAGATCAGGGAGAATTGTGGCCAGGACACCAGGGTAACACCCCTATTCTTTTTGAAAAATGCCCTGGGATTTTTGATGACCACAGAGAGTCAGGACCTCAGTTTTACATCTCATCCGAAGGATGGCGCTGTCCCCGTCACTATACTGGGGCATTAGGAACCACACAGACTGCAGGGTGAGCACCCTCTACTGGCCCCACTAATACCTCTTCCAGCAGCAACCTTATTTTTTCCCAGGAGGTCTCCAATCCAGGTACAGACCAGGCTCACAGCAGCTGAGCTTCAGTAGGTTGTCAGTTGTGAGTTGCAGGGTGACATAGCTGATGGTATGGTCAAAGGAGACTGTTAGAAATGACCAGAATGGCACTACTGGGAAGAGGAAGACCAAATACAACATGGAGAGAGAGAGAGAGAGAGAAGGAGATGGAAGAAGATTCCTGTGACTGAAGATGGTGATGAGCCAGGATCTGCAAGAGTATTCTCATTATTTCACAGATTAAGATAGGGTAATTTATAAATACATTTTTCCATCTAAAAATGCTACTCGACGTAAGAATATGTACAGTACATCATATTTTATTTCTACACCTACTGCCCACCTCCATCCCTTCTGTGTTCTATGAGTAAGGCTGCCATATTTCTTGGAAAAATTTAATCATTCTTCCCTCCCAAAGCTTAGCAGATTTGCAGACACCAGCAGTACAAAGCTGAACAAATTTTATTTTCAGTAACAGTCATTTAATGGTCAGTACAGCACAGTCATTTAAAATCTATCCTCGATGCAGAAAGCATCTGCTTTTAAAAGTTAAGGAATTAAAGTCAGTTGGTTGCTGAGACAGCTGTGTGAAACAGACCATTCAACTGAGGAATCAGAACTACACCGAAACCAAACAGTTGCAGAGATTTTAGAATGCCGAAGAAAGAAATCAAAAATCAGTTTTGATAGGCAGACACAAAGCATTAATAAATCATGCATATATCTTGTATGAAGTTAGTTGAGTACCATGAAGAAAACAAAGATATGCAAGTTAAAATTAACATATAGAACAGCTTTCCCTGGACAACCTACACAAACAGAAAACAGCCTGACAAATTGGAGGACTATTCTTGCTTGTTTGTTTTCTAGTAGCTAACTGATGCTGTCTGATCAAGAAAGCACAACAGCGCCTGTACTTCCTAAGATGGTTGAAGAAGCCCTAAGATATCTCCCCAGATCCTCACTAACTTTTACAGATGCACTACAGAAAGCACACTGACAGGTTGCATCAAAGTGTGGTATGGCAACTGCAGTATTGCTGACCGCAAAGCCAATACAGCGGGTGGTGAAAACTGCCCAGTCCATCACTGAGGTTGCCTTCCCATCCATACAGGACATTTATGACAGACGGTGCTTGAGGAAAGCTCTAAGCACCATCAAAGACCCCACACACCCCAGCTACAGACTGTATGACCCTCTACCATCTGGAAAACAGTACCGGAGCATTCGGTCCTGGACTACCAGACTCAGAGACAGTTTTTACCCCCGCACTATCAAACTATTAAACTCCCAGCCTCTCTCACCTACGATCTGAACCTCACAGTGCCTTCTCTCTTACCAAAAACTCAAACACACATTGAAATCTACCTCTACTCACATGTCAAGAAGCTTACTCTCTAACTAATAAACTATCCTCTCTAATAAACTATCCTTTATTTCATTCTGTTGATGTATGATTTTGCACATCTGATGTTGTTTTGCACATTACCTGTTACCTGTTGTTGTTTTGCACATTTCCTGTTGTTGTTTTGCGCACTGCCTGTTGTCTCTGTCTTTCTTTTCTTATACAATTGTATTATTGTTTTTTGTACTACTTATCATCTGAGAGCTAGCTAAATAGCATTTCGTTATGCCATATACCTGTATATGAGTATAATGACAATAAACTTGAACTTGAACTTGATAGAAGGATTTCGTCCTTCCATTATTCCGGAGGACCATAGGCTATCTGTTTCGACAACATGACAGCATAGCATATTCAATACTGCTCCTTAGCCTCTTTATTTAAAAAAGTGTCTCCTCTTCTCAGTCTTTAAGGGATGTCCTCATAATGTCCACTTTCTATTTGATAGGTGTTTAATAATGCCAAAGAAATGCATTGGGTTGAATTTATCTTTTATAAATATAATTTTATATTTTACTACTTCACCTTTCTGCTTGACAGATTCTTTTCAGTCTAGGAAGCAAGAATTATATTTTTGCTTCTCATGTTACATTTTAGAAGTATAGCAAAAATGCAAGGATTTGAAACAGATGAGAAGTGGGACCCAGCTAACCACTGGGTGGATGTGAAACCTTGATTATGAGATCTCGTGCTTTATCATATGCGCTCAACACCAGTTTGTTATCTCTCAATTTGCATTGATGAAAAAGGTGCAGCATAAACATGCTAGCCTTTCTTTGTTTTTGGCAGGGCGCACTGAAACAGCTGCTTAAGCAATTAGAAAATGACAAGAAGAGCCTCCAGAGCCAGCTTAAGGATTACATGCTTCGAACAGAGCAGGAAGCAAAGGTTTGCACAGTATCTTTATAATTGCAACAATGTGGAAAGTGGATAATTTGTCAGTAGAAATACTAGTAGTCGCAGATATAAGACACTAATCTTACTTCATTAGAGTAACAGTTTTAACTCTGGCTTTTGGTTTTCAGGCTTATCATAAGGCAAATGATGAGAGACGCACATACCTTGCAGAAATTTCACAGGTGGGAATTTGAAAGGATCTTTCTCATTTTTGTAGCCAAAGTTGTCAAGCAGGGCTGGCAAATTTAATTATGAGAATGCTGCAGTGCCATCTGGAGTTTCTTCTACTCAAGCTTCAGTTTGGCAAATTAGACATTTTGTTTGTTACTTGGTTAATTAAACTGCTTGACAGGTTTGCAGTGCTTGATAAGTGGTACTCTGTTTTGAATTCCTTCATCTTTTACGTGTATGAACACGTGTGTGAGTACATTATTACTTTGATTATAATTGAAGCAGATAATTACATTGATTATAACTGAGTGCATATGTTCAAACATGAAACAAAGGACCCTGTGGCCCTGCAACAAGTTCTCATTACCTGGACACCAGTGAACTAAACAATGAATTTTGTCTTAGTAATTATTTAATTTGGGAAAATTCACTTCATTTTTATTCCCGATAACCGATTAGTGAAAGTTTAATAATGAATTGCATTGGGAAGCCCAGTGTGAAAGGTGGACCTGACCACATTTGCTTTAGAAATGTATCCTTGCTTTTTTCTTGGATGTTTACATTTGTTCCTGATTTAAAACCAAGTAGACCAAAGTCAAACAGTTCTATCAAAGTTCTATCAATAAGAAATGCCCCCTTTATGGTCACACTCATACTGCTTTGACCTTAATCCTTTCACTTAACAGCTGTCTTACACAATCATTAATCTTTCTGATTTTGGGACACTTCATTGCATCTGTTACTGTGGATTAAAGTGCCTCAGTGAAGTAAAATCTGCAGACACTGGAATTTCTACTCAGCCATTGAACTAAAGGAGAATCAAGACTGATATTTGTGGTTGTTTGACTAACTAAGGTATCATGCAACTTTTCTGTGTGATAGCATACAGTTAACATGGCAAATCACAAGACCACTCTGTGCAGAAGGACACTGCTTTCTTAATGTCTAATTTTGTCGTTCATTCTTAAAAAGAGAATAAAAGGCAGCCAAAGGTGAATGAAGAGTTCTGTCATCTTGATGATCACATTCCTGTTCTTTTGTAAACGCTATATTCGTGTCTTTTCAGATTTCTGTTTCAGTTAGTTTAGGTGGATTAAAAGCATTACAAATTGAGTTAGATTCTAAAATATCGCCAATATGTTTGTTACATCCGTCTGATTTGGAATAGCCAAAATGAGCCCAACAGTCTGGAGGGAATGAGGAAGTGCAGGCAAACTCGCCTCCATTCGGACAACTGATAGGCACCACAGCACCCTACAGATAATCCAGCTGATAAATAAAGACCTGCATCCCTCACCAACTGCACTACATGTCTGGGAGGCCTCAGGGGCTGTTGTATCCCAAGAGAGCCCTGGCCAACTAATCCCACACTCCCCTTGGCAGCGTTCAGCCAATTGCGTGCTGAAGCTTGGGGAATCCCAGTCATTATCGGGTCACCAGTGGCAAGACTTGAACCCGTGATTCGAGAGCCCGGCCTTCGCTCAGGTGGTCAGCCTGACTGGTCGAGTCCATTGTGAAGCCCAAAAGCGAACATACAGTACTGTAGATCCATTGTTTTAACAGTGTATGATCAGAGCAGGATATTGAATCAATTAAAACTTAAAAGAGAAAAAAAAACAAATTGGGAAATTGTTCATAATATAATTATATGAAATCCTAAAGATAATACTATACTTACTAGATTTTTTAAACATGCTGAAGTCTTGTTCGTAACATTTTCTGTGTTGCATATCATTTTCTTTTCAAATAAAATACTGTTCATTATACTCTATGTCTTTAGCAAATTCTGCTACATTGTTTTTCGATTTTTGAATGGGAGCAGATACATTTGTTTCCTCTAATTCTGTCAGTGTTATTCCAGTTCATTGCAATGATTTGCTTATTTGTCCTTCTTCCTTTCAATATACTGTACATCTTTTTAGGTTAATTCTAATAAGTGCCATTACAATAACAAGAGAAATATCCATCGTGGAAACCAAGAAAAGAGGTTAAAAACATTAATAAGAGTTTACATGGACAGCTGCACAGAAATACATCAGATTTTTCCTCCAATATATGTAATTTTGTGTTGTAGCTCGGTGTCATTTAACAATTATGGGTATTGCAAAGTTAAGAAATGTATTTCAACTATATAATATTTTGTTTCAAAAATTAATATCTTTGTAATTCCTTAATTACTTTTGCAAGACCTTTATAAAGATGTAAGAAAACTTAATCCTGACTATGACCCAAACCAAAACTGTAACACTCCCTAACATTATTAATAACATTTTAAAAGGATGTCTGTTTGTAGGTAATTATAAAAGTGACCTAAAGTAATGTGTGTACTAACCAACAAAACTATAAAAAGTAATATTTAGCTGCATATGGCTAAAGACACCTATGTTGTGGTTATAAGACTCTGGGCCTTTGTTCAGGCATCTGCGGTGTTGGATTCAAGCAGAAAACAGCAGATGGTTCAGGCACACGGGACCATGGAAAATCAGCTTGTGAAGTATGGTACTTTTTCTGTGTTCAAAAATCAATAGGTGTATGCTTAGAATGTATTTTAGAATACTACTTATTGAAAATAAAACTGAAATTGCGCAAGACATCTCAATGGTACTGAATTAAAGACGAACCTTAATTCCATTCACAAATTTCAATCATGGTACTTGATTGCTTTCCTGCTTACCAGTGGTGTCTTCAGTCTAACTACTGGAACTGGTGTTTTTTGTCATTTGAACTTGTAGTCCAAGCTAATTTAATTTGAAATTTGGTGTGTAGATAGATTTTAACCTAGTCCAGACTATAAAACAGAGAAATGTCAGAGCATTGTAATTCTGCAGTCTTTTTAAAGCTCAAAACCTTTTGTGATGTTTTGAATGAATCTTGGGTCCCTATAAATATGCACTTTAGTATTGTTAAACAAGTGCCTAAATGATCTAAATATAGATTGCCACCTGTTACCTTTTTACCTATTTGAGATATTTTCTTTATAAGGGTGGGGTAATGTGACAAAATTGCAAATTATAAATTAATACTCATTTTAAATTTACAATAAATGATTTTATTGTATCAGTATTGAAATATACTAGGAAATATGCACAGCTACAAGCCTTCTGTATAGCTATACAAAGATCTAATGTATTTTAAACCTGATAGCATTAGAAAGAGTGCTGTCTGAGTTCATTACATTGTCTGGCTCTCTGGCAGGAATAATGTAATGTTATGAAAGATGATTCTGTATTTGGATTGTTTCTGTAAATTTTATTTAATGCATGTAATGATCAGAGATTTCAAG